TTCACTTGCAAATTTGTTAAATTAGTCTTATAACGCCCAAACTTAGTCTTCAGCCTTATTCTTATATGAGAGAATAGAAATTAATGTTATAATTAAACACATAATAGGATAGTATAATCATTAATACTTTATTTATCCCAAACAGGTGAAGATAGCGAAATTAATAGAAATCATTGTAATCTTTAATCAGTTTTTGATTGACTAAAAGACAACAACAACGACACACACTTTTATTGTTAAATAACAAATGTTTGGATTAAATAGTTTTTATTATTCTCACAAGGACATGGATTTGTTTGGTTTACTACCACATCTAGTTGAAACTGTTTACTGAAGATATATTTGTAGAAAACATGTTTCATATATTTACTGGGTCATAAGAAAATATATTATAGACATAAATTTCAGGAGCCACGGTGGCTAAGTGAGTAACGCGCTGGCTCGGTAGTCTTGAGGTCGCGGGTTCGCTCCCGGTGTCGGCCGAGAAATTTCATCGGGACAAAGGGCCTGACAAGGACAGCTGTGTAATCGTTCGGTTAGGACGAAAAACCGAGATCATGTGTACACACTGGCGAGCACGTAAAAGATCCCTTAGCAATTGGAATTCGGGCAAAATTTCCCTCATAGCACACTGCATGGCGTATGCCCGTCGTCATCAGCCTAGCCGGGGCAGAACAGTAAGACGTTAATCCCCATTTCATTTCATAAATTTCAAAAGGTCATGATTACAATTGTTTTTAAAGCCATAGAAAATACTCTTGATAAAGCTGTTGGATTGGGTGGCCGAATCGTCTAGCGAATGGGCTTTAGGGTCGCATGTCCAACCTCATAAGTTCTCTCCGGGTTCTCCACTGCTAAAGACCACTACGCGCAAGAGCGAATTATTGAAATATATCTGAACCATATGTTAGTCCCGAAATGGCCTATTTACTCCCCCTCCCCCGTCTTAATATTTGCGGCGTGGTTTCCCCTTGTCAGTGAAGGCCGAGAAATTTCATTGGGACAGAGGGCCTGACAAGGACAGCTGTCTAGTCGTTCGAATGGGATCAAAAATCGAGGACGGGTGCACTTAAAAGTTCCCTTGGCAGTTGGAATTCGATATATAAGAGTAGGCCGTACAGTCGCTGTCCGGACAAATTTTCCCTCATAGGACACTGTATGGCGTATGCCCGTCTTCAATGGCCCATCGGAGCATAAAAGTAGAGCGTTAAAGGGCGTATGGCTCTATTTTTTGGAACCTTGAAATAGACAAAAATTGTTCTAAAAGCACATATTAATGTAATATACTATTCAAAAAAAGTAGGGGATATTTGATTTTTAAGTGTTATTAAAGTCACCTAATGAAACTGACGAAGAAACAAATGACAAAATGAAATGAAGTTCACATTCATCGATTTATTCCAAATGATCGTTAGACTAAGTAAGGCACAGACTGACCATTATAAGGGTAAAATGATACCCGGGGTCAAACAGCAAAGTTACCACAGCATCACAACCAAGTCAGTAACGGGTAAATCCTCCTCTGTTTGCCAAAGAAGTATTGATCCGACGTGGCATACTCCTAATGAGACGTCTAAGGTCATTTTGGTCCAGATTGTCCCATTCCTGTTGCAACGCAGCAGCAAGTTCTTGGACATTGGCAGGACGTTGTTGACGTTGACGTAACCTCTGTCCAAGCATGTCCCAGACATGCTCGATGGGGGAGAGGTCGAGTGCTGGCCAAGGTAATGTGGTGATGTTCTGTTGTTGGAGGTAACCTGTAACGATCCTGGCCCAGTGACATCTTGCGTTGTCATCCTGGAAGATGAAACGGCGGCCATGACGTCGTGCGAACGGCACAATATGGACTGCCAAGATGTTGTCCCGGTAGTACTGGCCTGTAACACGCCCTGCAACAACATGTAAAGCCGTTCTTCCAGCAACAGTGATGCCTCCCCACACCATAACAGAACCACCCCCAAATCGATCATGTCTGATGACGTTAACGTCTTGGAAGCGCTCGTTTCGACGACGCCACACCCTCCTACGTCTGTCCAAAAAATCAACAGTGAACCTTGACTCATCTGAAAACATCACATTGCTCCAGCGTCGATTATCCCAGTGTTGACGATCCCCACACCAACGACGTCTTTCCTGAATGTGATGATCTCTCAAACAAGGGATCACGCGAGGACGTCGGGCGCGAAGGTGACCCCTATGCAGTCGATTCCGAATCGCCTGGCCACTCACTCTCACACCAGTGTCTGTTTGAAGACGAGCGCTGATCTGATTTGCTGTGATGACACGATTTCTCAAGGCCAAGGTACGGATAAATCGATCCTGGGCTTGAGTTGTCGCCCTTGGTCGACCTGAGCGTGGTCTGTCCTGTACAGATTGTGTATCACGGTATCTGGACCATAGCCTGCTTATGACAGACTGAAAAACATTCATCGTCCGCGCCACAACCGCCTGTGTTGTGCCGATCTGTAGCATGCCAAGGGCACGTAACCTTTCATTTTGGGTAAGCCGACGCATATCAAAATTTGTTTTCTGGTCACTAAAACAATTAAACTGATGTTTCCACCCTGGAATTCAATGCCACAATAACTGTAACATTCAAAGTCAGAGTCGTGCAAATCTTGGGTTGGACCCCCATGATGATCCCAAGCATCACCTGCATTCCATGCGGTAGCTATTGGTGCGTTTGGGTGTCACATGTAACTGGAAATGTTTCTTCTGTTAGGTTCTATAGTGACTTTTTTCGTAGTCATTTGCATATTTTAGTATTATGCCCCCAAAATCAAATATCCCCTACTTTTTTTGAATAGTATATGAATGCATGTAAGTGATTTATATTCAATTTTGGAAAAATTTAATTAGGTTCGGTGAAATACATGAACAATTGAATGGCAGTCGTTTACGCCTGCTTAGTAATTCTACACGTTTTTAAATTATTTTGTCGTTTGTGAATACATGTAATTACTTCCACATTGTGTTGTTATTTGTTCATTACGCAACTCGCGTACCGATAATAAAAATGTTAATTGTGTCTTCAATATTGTATATTGGAATCCTATAGTTTCACGGCAATATAACAGCATCAATATCGATTAAAACTGATCAATATTGAGTTAGAGACTTAGCTCCTTTAAACCCCATTTCATTTCATTCCATTCCATTTCATTTCTCTCTTAAAGGATCTAAATCGCTAATATGTGGGACCTATAAATTGACTGAAATGGCTCACAACGCATATAATAATGTATTATGAATGCATATAAACTGATTTACATTCCATCATTTCTGTTTTTACTTCAATTTCTAATCAGGTATACGCCAGAAGTCTCAATCAAATGGCAATCTCTAGCTTCTGGTTATTCCAGTCTACACCGATAATATTTATTGTGCATGCTCTCCAGATAAGAATATGCCGTCACTGTTTGGCATGACTTGTGGAATATGTCTAGCCTCGTTATTCGAGTCCCTTGTTGCAAATGGTGCTGAAACGCATTATGATACACGATTCGTGTACCAATAGTAAAATATTTATTTTGTCTTAAATATTGGATATCAGAAGCCCATCATTTCTCGGTAAGATCACAACGTCGTAGACTTGGGATGATACTGAGTTGGAGACTTAGCTACTTTAATATCGCTGGCTGAAAATACATGTTCTATAATTAACGTCAGTTTTCAGTAATCGGTCATTTATTTGTTGATTTAGAATATAAATAGACTTTATTTCTCGATTTATTCACATTTAAGAATGACATTTATTGTGTGTAAGGGTGTGGTTGTCTTCGATATTTTTTTAAAAAATGCAAATTTATAAATTTAAAAAAAATCTATTGTAACCTAACGTGCCCAAAGTTCGTGCGTACTATTACATTAATATAACTCGGCGACATGTCATTTTCTTAAGCAAAATTTCTATATTAATAATAATGATGATAAACAAAAATAGTTTACATCAAAATAAAGTGTGAATAAATGCAATTAACGCGAGACATTGATGGATTAATATGCCTTTAATAGAGAATAGGTTACGCTACTATACTACAATTTTTTTTTTTTTTTTTTTGCAATAAGGCATATAGTACTATATATTCATACTCAATCAAATTTATATTCTATTCGTAGAAAAAAAAATGTTTCAGAAGTTACTTTTTGTAAAAAAAAAAACCTTTAATGTATCGAGTTAAACTTTTAGGCTGCTATTACATATAGGGGTATACGGGTTACGGTATTCGGTATACGTTTAGAGGTATACGCGAATACTTGTGTTCGAACAACAGGAATTTGCTTAGCGGTTTACATCGGACTATACGCGTATAGGGGCACGCTATACGCATATACATGGTATCGTGCATGGGCGTTTTTTTTTTAGCGTATACTTGCTTCAGGGAGGAGTAAATTCCATGGGATGAGTAGAAAATGGGCATTTGTGTTGTAAAAAGTTCGAATCAAACGTTCCGAATATTGATGGACATATCTCTAGGCACGGTAGACTATTCTAGATTATCATGAACAGTGATTTCCAGTTATTCCCCCCCCCCCCTTAATATTGGAATGAGCCGATTCAAAGCCTGACCTTCACGCCACCATACTTTACGCCTCCGCAAGTAAAAACCAAGTCAGAGTTTCCTCTTCTTCTGAATCCATTCTGTTTAGATATGAATGAGCCGCGATGAGGGTACCGAAATCGGTGGGAAACATAACTGACCAGGCCAGTATACCCACGTATAGTATATGCCGTGTAAACCGCCGTGCCCGTATACCGTATATCGTATACCCAGCAGCCTAATGGAATGAATAAAACAAAATAGCCGTCTTGGATAAAATATTGTGTTTAAGGCCACGCACAATCACATCAGAAATTTTGCCATCTTTATGTGTCAGAAAAATAAAGTAATAATTATTAAATCTTTTGCGGACAAGACAGTCCACAATATAGATATTTTTTGATTTCTGAGATATGCGTCCAGTGTCGTTAATAAATGTGAAGACATTAAGTAACTCACCTATATATTTTATGTATGCTGTTCACTTTATTTTAGTCACGCCGTCTACTTATTGAAAGTCTGCATATCCAAAAATGTGCGACCAGACTCTGTTTGATCGTTCGAATGTGGGAGCAGACCTATTTTAATTCAGACAATACTTGGGTATAAACTTAAATGTCTTATCATGACCAATTATTTTCGTGAACACAATATAAAATAAAATTTTGTATGTTATTAAATATAAAAGTCGGATGATATATGGGAATATCATTGTGTCTGCCTATCCGACAGTATAATAGTGAAGTGCACAGATGACATTTGTCAAATGTTTCATTTGTGTCACCGCTTAAGTTATTAATTTCATGTTACATTCACCGTAAGTGTTAGGGCAAATTTTTTATAGTCCATTAACAGTGGATGGGTGTCATTTTTAATTAGCTAAACTACTTTCGATATACGCGTTTAATAAACTAAGCTGACGGGGTCACAAATATTGTATGGCTGTAGCATAATATGACAAACTAATTAGCTTAGGCGGGCGAGGAATAATTTTTATTATTTTTTGGGGGTTAAATTTGGGGACGGGGTTATGGGCGCTTGTGTAAAAGTCAAACTCTTGACAATTTATATTATAAATACACGTAGGGCCTTATTCCAGAAAACAGACTACAATATTTTAGGAAAACGACATTTTCTTTGGCGCAGAGCTAATATTCTAATTAAACTTTTCATAAATACAGACCCTGGTCCTATACTGGTATCGGATTCAAATAACTGTTGACATATTTCGTCGTGCCATTGTCGAACTGGCGAATATCGAGTTTTTAACTTTTCGAGAAAAAAAAGTATTTGAAGTTTCGTCTTTCCTGATTGACGTCCCAGGAAAGATGCCCGAAATAAATCTAAGAAGGAATTACATGACAAAATAAATGCATTTTATTATCATGCATTTTTATTATCATAAATAACAGCTACTTGTTATTTAAAGGAGCTAAGTCGCTAATATTTGTGACCTGGAAACTGACACAAATGGGTCGCAACGGATATAATAATGTATTATGAATGCATAAAAACTGATTTACATTCGATCATTTCCGTTTTTACTCTAATATCAAATCATTTATCTTCGCCAGAAGTCTCAGTCGAATGGCAATCTATAGCGTCTGGTCATTCCAGTCTGCGCATGCTCTCCAGATAAGAATATGGGGTCACCGTTTGACATGACTTGTGGAATATGTCTAGCCCCGTTCTTCGAGTCCTTTGTTACAAATGGCACTGAAACGCGTTATGGTACACGAATCGTGTACCAATGGTAAAATGTTTATTTTGTCTTAAATATTGGATATCAGAAGCCCATCTTTTCCCGGTAAGATCACAACATCAATATTGATTTAAATTTACAAATAATTCGTGTTTTCAATGCCGAAGACTTTGGATGATACTGAGTTAGAGACTTAGCTACTTTAATATAGCTGGCTGAAAATACATGTTCTATAATTAACGTCACAATTTTCAGGAATCAGTCATTTATTTGTTGATTTAGAATATAAATAGACTTATTTCTCGATTTATTCACATTTAAGAATGACATTTATTGTGTGTAAGGGTGTAGTTGTCTTCGAGAGAGAGAGAGAGAGAGAGAGAGCGAGAGAGAGCGAGTTTAACATTCACTCGACACAAACTAGGTCATTTCAGGACTAACATATGGTTCACTTTATTTCAATAATTTTGCCCGGATAGCGACACTACGGTCTACTCTTATATCAAATTCCAACTGTCAAGGGATCTTTTACGTGCATGCCAATGTGTACACAGGACCTCGGTTTTTCGTCCCATCCGAACGACTAGACAGCTGTTCTTGTCAGGCCCTCCGCTCTGCATCACTGACAAGGGGGGGGGGGGGAACCACGCCGGATAATCTGGATGAACTTTCTCGGCTGTTCATGTGCAATTGTACAGGATTGTTTGCAAGTTACCTTCCCATACAGATCTTCATTGTGTCGAGAACAGCATCAATTTTAACTTGGATGGTCACTTCACAAGTGCGACCAGACCTTGGTTCGTCTTCAGTGCTGATCCAGCCCCCTGTAAATTCAGCACACCGCTGAAGGAGCATTGTCACATCCTGTTTGTATCATTTAATCACGAATTTACTTTGGTGTCAACTTTTTCAAATGCAGGTGAGTAATCACGTGTCCGCATTCGGTTTTCTTCATTTCGAGAGCAAATGAGAGGGCCGTGCTATTTATAGGTATATATAGGTGTCAAGAACATGCTGGGATACCTTTCTAGCAACATAAACAGATTGATTTGTGCGAGTTTGAGGCCGGAAACGTTCGAATCGTAAAATATATAATATGATGAACCAAACTTGGATGATTTCAATTTTGATGCACATCAGATCGCAACTTCTTGGGTTTTGGTCCCTGCCTTTTACGCAAAATGTAAAATAAGCGCAAAGTTTGTGGACACTCTCTGTTCGATATAGATGTAAATTACAATATAAGGATCAAAAGATCTTGGATATGTTTGATTATGGTGCGCACCGGACCGTTACTTGAGGGACGATGGTCCCTGTCCTTTGGACAAAAATGGATTTGCAACAACAGAGCAGGGATCTTCTTTGTTGGTCCGACTGTCCGTCAGGGACGAACCCTATCGGTAATCTGCATTCCGTTGCCTTAATGTTCCGGACTTACCCCTTTTTTTTCGAAAACCTTGTGAAAGCCTTCTGCGACATTTCGTTCCAGAGTCATGCCTTCTTAGTCGAAAACATTGTTAACGCGATAATCTGCAATTTTTAACAGATGTTTCAAGTTTAGTGTAAAATAATACCTTCTGAACATGATGGAGGATACGGTTATGGACGGATTGATTTTAAAGTTTTTGTGATGCATTGGGGTCATGAGAGGACGAACCCTATCGATATAACGTTTTGGAGTTACCCCCATTTTCCAGAAAACCTTATGGGACAATGAGAGAAAAAAAAAAAAAAAAAAAAAATGAAATAAAAAAAAAGAAAGATAGAAAAGTGTAATTCCTATTTTACAACAGATCTAAAGAAAATATGTTTTACTTAGTTTCCAATTATAAGAAAAACTGATTTTAATGACAAAGTTTGGTTATTTTTATTAGAAAGGATATACATGTATAAAAAGGTCAATTCAATTCACTGAAAATATCCATACGAACTAAAAATTCATTTCTTTGCTGTGTAACATATTGGTTTAAAGGAGACAAGTCTTTAACTCAATATCATCCACAGTCTTCGACATTGCAAACAAAACTTATTGGTCAATTTAAATCAACATTGATGTTGTCTTACCGTGAAAAGATGGGCTTCTGATATCCAATATTTTAAGATTGGCACACGAATCGGGTGTCAGAATGCTTTCGAGTGCCATTTGTAATGAGCGACTCGATGAACGAGGTTAATTATAAGCCACAGGAGAATACTAACGGTGTAGACTGGAATAACCAGACGCCAAAGACTGTCATTCAATTCGGACTCTTCGTGTATTTTGCCGAACATAACTGACATTTAGTCATATAAAAACTAGGACACGGCGAATATTAGGAAAACTTGGAAATTCATAGGACAAGAGCCAGAATATAAATACCATTAGAAAGAGCAGAATAGGGTTGCTAAGAATGACTGTTAAAACTGGCCATCGCAAAAAAAAAGTTATAAGGTGCTAAGTTCGAATATAAAACCTTGTCATAAATAACAAAATGGTGATGGCGTCCGCGTTTAGCTACCTAAGTAGGTAGGTAGTCAATTTTCATCGATGAATTTGGCCAGGTAACACAGATAAGTAATTATGTTACAAATAGTGATGAGTGGAACACTGAAATCTTAATCTCATCTTACCAAACAGTTTTTCTGTATTTTCGAGATGACGTAAAATCACGTGAGTATTCTAATTCTGATTCGGCGACCATTTTAAAATGGACAGCAATTTCGCATAGCAATTGGGTTTCACCTTGATTTCAGTAGGAATTTGTTTATTATATGTTAAGCTATGTACAGTTTGGGGTCAGGTTTATTGGAAATTAAGGGAGTTATAGGTCAGTAACTTTCTTTTCATCAAATCATGACAAAACCTGCTCAAAGGAAGGCCATAGAACGATTCATTACTGTAGTGGGGGCAAGACGGACGACATCAGTAGTGGAACCATTTCTACCATATGACAAGTTGAACTTGGTAAAGGCCCGGTCCCACTGCACTTACGGATGCAAAGAGGATGTAAAACGGGGGAAAAACGTGCCCTCCGTTTGAAAACGTGTTTCATACGCTCTATCCATCGAGCATCCGTTCACTTTGCTGCACAAAACTTTTATAACGGAAGAACTTTCTGCCGTGTACGATGTAAATGCGCGACATATACTAGCACCAAACGTTCCATGTCCGTTATCATCCGTTAAACGGCCACTGTATCCTCTCTGCATCCTCTGGACATCCTCGCAACTCACATCCGCTCCAGCTGAAAACGTAAAGAGGGAGGAAAAATATTTAAGGTACATGGAACGTCTATACATCGTTAGTAGCACGGAAATAGAAGGGATGTAAGCGTATGCATCTCGTATAATATAAAGTTTTCAAAACGGACAAAGCGTTTGTATCTGGGATGTATCTGGTAATATATTGAAGGATGTGGGAGTTGTCATCCACTTCCATCCGCTAGGCTTCCGATGAACATCCATTTAACATCCCCGCTACATACTTTCCACGTTCGTTTTTTTCCGTTCTGTTTTCGCAAATTTTCGTCAATTTTGTCCATTTCTGGAGCGGATGAAAACGGATGGAGCCACCCCCGAAAGTTTGCTCGTGTCCTTTTTGCATACGTTTTGTGTCCATCAGCCATTGGGACCGGGCCTTAAGACAAATTGTAGTTCGTTAGCATTTTCTGCCAGGTTTTGGTAAATATTCATGATTTTGGGGCGGAAGGATAACAGGGTTATCAGGTTCGCTACGGCGATATGTACGGCAACTAGTTACATGTTTTTAGTCAATCTGTTTCACAGAGAATTACGAGTCTAGTGATATATCTCTGTCAAAGATGACTGCCTTAACACGTGCTGTCACAGCACGCGGCGTCAATCATTGGCTGAATGGCGCGTGCATTGTTTACATAAGACGTTACTGCTTCGGAGAGAATGCTGCATTTTAGTCAATTTAATACTATTTACACTAAATAGGAAATAATTTTTACCTACAAATACGTCAAACGCCTTTATTTTTCCAATACATAAAAAAATGTTTTAGAATTTAATTTGTCGCAGGAAAAAAGTTAATATTTCTGGCTCATTAAGCCGCATCGATGTCATCCTTATCAGTGATTGTAGCGGTCTAGCAAATATTCACTGCGGATCAGTGTGGTTTTTAGTATGCTTCTTCAAGTTTGTGTATCTCAAAATTTTGGTGGTCAACCGCATACAAATTTTAGTACAAAGACATGACCATTTGTTCCTCTGTCTGTAGTGAAAAGCATTCAGCCCAACGAAAATTTGGGGAAAAGTTGGAGGTGGGCAAAGAGGCCAGAATTAACATTGAAGTAAATGGGGAAATTAATGGTGGTCTGCCTCCACACCCCTTTTACTGTTTACATTGATTTTCATGCAATTACTGCATAAGCAAACTACATTTGCTAAATGTAAGTTAATTTTCGTAATAATGTTTTTTTTTTCATTTTTAGTATTGCTCTCTAATAATAATATGCTTCATAAAAATACAAAATTTCGAAAAGACTGAAGGGAGATTACTCATACTTTTCCATTTGAATGCAGACAACTATAGTTGCTAAATATTCGACATAAACTGCTTTTCATTAGTAGTATTTAACGGGATACTACTTTTAACATCGAGCAATCAAACTGATTATTAACTATATACTAAGTTTCATCACTCTCTATCAGATAGAATCAAAGTTATCTTGTCCCAAACATCAACCAATGAAACTGCTTAGCTCTGCTTAACTTTAGCTCGAAATGCTAATCATTGAACTCAGTCAAGACATTCACCTAATGAACATCTACACCAAGTTTGAACATTCTACCTCAATTAAAAGCACAGTTGTTATGTTCCTAAGTCTTCACCAATCAAACTGCTTATCGCTCCTTAGCCCAAGCATACAATTCTCGTCATCAAACTGTCATGGTAATAATATAATGAATCTATACTCGGATGAACGCCTACACCAAGTTTGAACATTCTACCTCAACAGAAGGAGAGTATTGTGTTCCAAAGTCTCAACCAATCAAATTGCTTATCGCTCTGCTTACCCCGAGCAGAAAATGCTCATTATCGAACTTAGTCAAGGTATTGATGTAATGAAACTATACACCAAGTTTCATAACTCTCACTTAATTAGAGAGAGAGAGAGATGGGGTTTAAGGTCTAATATATAGTTCAATTTAATTTCCATAATTCGCTTGCGCGTAGGGGTCTTTAGCAGTGGGAGGAAACCAGAGAATCCGGAGAAAACCCATGAGGTTGGACAGGCAACCCTACTCCTGTACAACCGGGGAATCGAAACCACACCAGTTGGCTCAATGACAGACTTTATGATACAGTGCGCACTGCTAACCATTTACCCTTCCACCCCCCACCCCCACCCCCACACACACTTAATTAGAACTAAAGTTATCGTGTCCCGAAGCATTAACCACCCAAATTGCTTATCTTTGCTTACCCTAAGCAGAAAATGTTCATCTTCGAACTCCATCAAGGCATTGACCAATAAACACCTACATCAAGTTGGAACATTCTAGCTCAATTAGAAGGAGAGTTATTGTGTCCAAAAAAGTGTGACGTTTAAATAATTCTGGTACTGAAGAGTTTACCTAGTAATTCTTCCATCCTTTCTGCACATTTTTGGCAATTTCAAAACAGAACAATATTCACTAAATTATACTTGCTCTCCTAACCGACTTTTAAAAAAAAAACCATTTTAGAACCCCTTTTTCTATTTTCAATCCAGCAAAGAGCAGGTTAATTCACTACAAAATAAATTTAATATTCAAATAGAAATATGAATAAATAAGGCCTTATTTACATGAAATTATAGAACTGTCTTATTAGCTTCCTTTATCATAAGGGTAAAGTTATGTAATCTGCTAAAATTCTGACATTTGGCTCAATACTAGTTACCTTTTTGTGCCTTATAATATTTTGTACAACCGTAATTCACAGATATGTCATGACATTTACCCCCCCTTAGGTAAAAATTGAGTAACCACAAAACACTCAATTACTGTGGTGCATTTGTTACCTCCTGGTGCAACCAGATTTCATTAAACAATACTCCATCAGCTATTTCATATCAAAAATTTGGAGAGAGTGTCAAATGACACAAGCATAAATTTTATCACACAAACATTGAACATTTTTTCTTAATGTTTTTATATTCTTCATATTATATATAAATGAGTCATTTTATATTACATATTACATATGTCAGACATTTAAAATCATAAAATCCTTTTTATATAAAAGGAGTGATCTGAGATAGATATAACAAGCTATATTGAATAGAAAACAACAAAAGGCAACAAATAAGCTTACATAAAATTAAGTACATTTTATCAGAGGTACAGTGTGCATGTAAAAGATTTATTTAAGATGATGAGAACTTCAATCAGCATTTTTTCCAGCAGAAAAGATATGATAACATGTAAAATATATACCTGTCAACACTGGACAAGTCAGAAGTCAAATTCATTTCACTAATGTTGATGATACATAACATCTGACGTGAGTTGATGTAGCAAACAAATATTTTGTTATCTTCCAAAAAAGACAATACTGTTTTTGTAAATAAAGAGTCCATCATCAGTGGCATGCAGAGGTTTGGTGACTTTTTAATTATGTAAAAACATATGAGATATCCTTTTTTTCAAATTATGTAGGGAAGGGAAGCTTGTATAACAAAGTTGACATCGATAATTTCAAATAATAAAAAATTTTTTATTATAAATTTCACCTTTGATTGGATGCCCTGCCTTTAAATTATTTCTGATGCTGCCCCCCCCACCTCCACATACACACCTCCCTTCGTACATGCCAATGTTAATCATGGCTATAAGATTAAACTAAGTTAAAAATATGTATGGATTTGTTAACAAATGTGAGGATATAACAAAATCACATATAGATACTTTCTGATCAATCTAACGCTACTAACATCAAAATATTTGTTACTCCTATATGCTCATAGTCAAATGTATGTAATCAAAACCTTGGATGCAACATGCAATGGTAAGAGTGATGATGGGGAAATGTTTCTATTGAACACTATGATCAAGATGGCATAATGCACAAGAAAAAGGATTAGTAACATGATGAACAAAAGATGTAGCATGATACATAATTATAATAATAGTAAAAATATACAGTGTTTAACATTTGTTTCTGGAATAAAATCAAAATATTTACAGTGTCAAACAGACAATTTATTTAAAGATACATGATGTATGACATGTTACAAGGGATGTTATCTTACACTTCATATATAGATTAATCTTTAACTAACAGACATATATAACATTGTGTTGCTCGATATTCATATTAAATCATCCCAATCTCATTAAGATCAGATATCAGTTATGTTTCAGGTTATTATTCATGTTGTACTACATTCACAATTTGGTATGGTGTTCATGTCACATGGACCTATTGCCCAATCGTATTGCCAATGCTGAAATAGAGGGCTTCATTTTGTGGTGAATTATTAAATTTTAAGGTCCAATGTGGAGTATATTAAACTGTACCGTTGATCAGATGACAACTTTAGCCGTTAAGAGTTATATAAGAACTCATTTATAGGCTTCTTCATTTCATGAAAACTGTATATATTACAAGTTAATCAAATAACAACTTTAGTCCCTTGTCCACCAGATATTTCAAATTGATGAAGGGCCCATAACTCAGACAGCAGTTATTGGAAATCGTTGAAAATAAATAACTCAATGAATATAAAAACTGTGTATAAATTTCAAGTCAAGATTTTCAAAATTGATTAAGGGCAACTCTGACAGTACTGATCAGAAATTTAAAGTCAGTGATAACATTAGCCTCTATGAGCAGGGGTGACTGACCTTTAACATACCATGTGCCAATTTGTTTACACACAAATTCAGATGTGCCATACAAGTCTTGTACTCCTGTCAACTTTGTATAAATACATGTAAATAAATGTTTATGGACATAATAAGCATTTTTACATGATAAATATATTAAATATAAAAACGATATTTAAAAAGGACGTCCACAAAATAATAAAATCGCTAAAATAAAGAGGAGGCTTACTGTCTTACGTTATTATCACAGGGATGCAATGCACCACTTACCCCGGTATGCTAAACATTTGGAGCATGCGGCGGGGTTGGTCATCCCTGCTCTACAGCGCCCACAAGTAATTGCAAACACCAACTGGCTGGAGTAACTACAACATACAACCACACATTTCAATGTGGGCATATAAAAATCAGAAAAAAGAAAATAAATGAAACAAAACTGTTATCTAATTTTTTGAGCTACAGCTTTTTGGATTTCGAAAATCGATAAATACTCGTAAACTATATATCTGGTGATCTTTATTGACCAAAAACTGTTTTTATATTCATATTTTGAGTTTTGATGTAACTTAATAATTAATGCTTTTTCATCTGTACTGAAAGTTAGCTCTTGGGGAAATTGGCTAAATTTAGCTTGGAATACATGAGAAATAACTTTTTTTTTCTGTGAGCTTTTCTATCTATTGTTGGTCAAATTGTCAGAGCACTAACTATCAAAGCACTTACTATTAGGTAAAATATCTGAAGTGAATATAAATACAACTATTGGTATTGATACAAACTGCCGGATCTGTTCCCAAATGGCAAGACTCACACAATAACTACCATCCTATGTAATAGTTCATAAATAGATTTTAGTGTTTATATTATGTAGCACTCTTGAGCCATGTTCATTAAACAGCTATTGTTGCCTCTATTGAAAACAGCTAACTTTGTATTTTGATCTTTAAACTTGATTGAAAGAACACCCTTTCTAATTCAAATGTAAAATGTACCATTTTAATTGCACATTTGGTCCTTTATTCAAAGGTTTAATAATAACAATTTACATGTGTATCATTAGCAGAATAATAATTTCTGAGAACAAAAAGACATATATCACAATATTAATTATATTTATAAAGTTGTTTAAACCAAATCTATAAAGATATGAACACACAAATTATCAAATGCTATTAATCCCACATTCTATGTGCCTATGATTGAGCCTTGTGATCAACTGATCCTTTGGAACGAGCATACACATATAAAAGAAAACAAGGTCTGTTACAATGTGTATTTAAATACTGTTTTTTGATTCAGTGATCTGTCCAGAGGCTTGTAGAATGTGGGATTGTTGTTGTTGTTGTAAGTATAATGTCTCCATTATTAATAGTTTTTTTTTTTTTAAAAAAAAATATTTTAAATACAGCATATTTTTTCTGTTCTTTAAATACATGTAAAGCAATCATATGATAAAATTACAAAATGATATTAGGCCAACAGAAATAATTTACTGATATCAGATGAAATTTTTTTTTGTTTCAACTAAACTATAGAGATTGATTGAGGCTTCCAATAATAACAAGCTAGAGAATAAGAATGGTACAGCAATAAACATTGTTCAAGTTCACACAATAGCCATTTTAAGCATTGAGCACTTAATGACAGTGAACAAAATTGGTCCATAATAATAGTAATACATGTATGTACATAAGGGACACAAACGCATTTTTGAATGAAATTTACAAATTGCCAAAAATAATTGGTCATAAAAATTCACATTATAACAATTTGCATGCAGGATTTTAACACAGCTTCTGAAAATTGTGTTTACACAGATGCTAATAAGAGAAGCTTAGGCTGAAATTTTTATTTGTGCATTTACAAGTATAATCAAGCATAAATATTTTCAAACGGCTTACATTGTTCAGCAATCAATTTGTACTTTATTAACAAAATGAGTGATGTTTGGCTTTTGATCTTAAAGAGCTGTTATCACTTTCATCCAGGAATTAAATGTAATAACATATTCAAAATATCCTTAGAAATCACCTGAGTAAAGGCATTTAGGAATTTGTAAGCTAAACTCCATGTAAAAAAACTGTAGTCTATAGTGTGTACAGCCCTTAATTTAATGATCTCAAAACCTCACACTAAAAAAACATCCCACACTGTATAGATATGTCATTTTTTTTTATTTTTCAATGTAAGAAAAGCCAATATTCAAGAATCATGCATATAATATGTTCATTTTATAATAATCTGTTCGCATAACAGAACTGTATATCTTTAATTTTAGATATTTTAGGATTTTCAAGATGATTGCAATGCATCCATCAAATTATATTATGTACTTGATTAAGTAGACTACAGTGGACTTTGTCACATCCGATCTCTGATCACTCCGGATTGCTGTGACATCCGGTATGATTTTCATGTCCCGATTTATTTCCTTATTACTTCAGCCAAAAAATCGCTGGTAAATCCGAATTCAGTATGTTCCGGATTCCGAAATCAATCAGCCGTCCCGTCACATAATTTCCATTGAATCGACACCGTATAATCCATACTTGAAACGGTGGGTGTGAAGCATCCAATTATTGGTGAGATTAAAACTCAATGGGTGTGAAGCCAGAAAAGATTAACAAGTAATCACCAATCAATTATCGGTGAGATTATCGGTGTGTTGATTACTTTGATCGGTAAAGCAGTTAACCCGAGATGTTTTAGGGGAGTGGACAAGATCAACCTGCCAGTCAATTGGTCGGCCAATCGCAAAGCTTGGATGACAGGTGCCATTTACTTTGATTGGCTTGAAAAACTGGACATAGAACGACAGATTATAAATGAACACGTAACAGAGTGGACAATTGGCTGAAGACGGGGACGATGAAGAATATACATTAACGACAGACTTGACCTATTCAAAATTCCTACGCATGCTCAACGACATTAAACACTTCGCACAGATTAAGGACGAAAAGATGATCGCAACAATTCATTTGTTAGAAGATGTTGCCCAGGACTCCGCCTTACGATATGCTTTCGGTAATCTTAAGCAAACTACTTTAAACGATTACATGCATTGATATTTATAAATATATTGTACGCATGCATTGATATTACATGTAAACGATTTTATGAATATATTGTACGCATGCATTGTTATTGTTAATTATTTAATATAATAAATGTTTATCATTTATGAAGGGAATATCATTCTGGTGATTCGAAGCTACAATATAAAAATACTCCCGGTTTTCGAAGTTACAGTATTTCCGGTTTGGGAGAAAACTCGGTATTCCGAAACACTGTGTGATCCGAATTATTGTAACGATCCCGTACGACGTCGGATGTGACAGAGTCCACTGTATATTAAACACAATATAATCACTGCACAGTATCTATTCTTACAATAAACAAACTAAAGGTCTTTACAGTGCCTAGAAGACTTTTAATGCTATGGCCATGTAGTATTGCATCTCAAGAGTACTGGTAAAAAGGAAGGAAGGGTATTGGGTTTATAAACTTACACTAAATACAACAGGTAATTTCGGGACTAACATACATTATACAGCACATTCTTTAAGTCAATAATTCAATTTTGTGCAGGGTACTTCAGCAGATGGAGGACCAGAGTACCAGAAAAGAAAAACACAAGTTTAGTTGAGTCACTTTTACTTCTTTACTTGTTATATGAATGTGAACTTAATGGGGGAAAACAACCGAATTGGTAGCAGTTCTTACATGCAGTTTAGCAGCACAATGCTTAATACAACTTGATCACCAAGTCACAGCTGACTTTTACCCAAATGCAGATAGGCTTCACACAAACAAACTCTAGCTGTATCTTAATAGAGCATAAACATGAATCCTATGCTGATTCAATTTTTTTCAGTCCTGAGAACCTGCTTTATGGAATGACATCAGCATGTATTTCATGATCAAAAGTTCAATGAGCAGAATTCCCATATTGGAAATCAACTTCCCATTGTGAAGAATCAACTACTGCATTTCATACAGCTAATACCAATTCTTTCAATGAGACATTTATTGACAACATGAATATTTGAAAAAATTGAAGGGAGGAAAAGACACTGGTTAAGGAATAAATAAATAAATTTTATCACATTTCAGCTTGAAGCTTCGGCTTGAGTCACTATCACTTGAACAACATTTCCTTTGGGAATCTTGGCATCTTCCAAACGTAACTTATCGTTCAGTAGCTTTCCGGCAAAGTACCATCTTTGTTTAATCATTTCGATTCCTTCTTCTTCAAAAATCCTTTTTTTGATTTTCAACACAGTATCAGTTGTCCGCACATAAAGTTTTAAATCTTTGTTTGTGTTAGAAAGTCTGAATTTTAAGGGTATTTCTACTCCTGGTGAGGAATTGGCATCAGTCTCCTGTCCAGTGTCACTTTCACTCATTTCATCTATCAGATTTGTTGGAGCACTTAACACATAAACAGGCAGCTGATAACGATTACCTAACTCATCATAACAATCCATTAATGTACCTACAAGATGAATAGAAATGAAATGAAATTTTTACTTCAATAATTCGCTTACGCATAGGGGTCTTTTAGTAGTGGGAGGAAACCGACAAGATTGGGTAGACAACCATTCTCCTTATCATGTACAAGCTTGGCATTGAAAGTACGCCACTTGACTCAATGACAGACCTTATTATCTAAAGTGCATGTTAGGCAACACAAGTACCCACCCCCGCCCTCTATGCAAAGGAATATGACACTAAGTCTTTTTCATCAGAATGACCAGATAAAATCATTGTGTGATTTCCACTGTACTACATGTACCTTTCTTTTTAGTTACATGTATACTTACCGTGTGGTAATGATATGTTGGCCCCATCTACTATAGCTTGAGCCATAGCATGATCTCCGGTTTCCAGAGCATATGCTGCTGCTTTCAGTGCATCCCAAATTTCTTTTCTGCCTTCAAAAGCTGGTGCTGTATCCCAAAATTCATCTCTCTTACTTCTCAGTTGGCCATCAGTCAATGCAACATCACTCTTCCATTTAGGTTTCTCTGGTTTTAGAGGCTGATTTCGACCAATGGAAACTAGAATGGAAATCATATTATTCAAGTCAAGTGCTTACATTTGACACAAATCAAAAATGTTCAATCAAAAGAGTATTCAAAGTTGCAAAAGGTCACTTGATTATTGGCTTTACTTTTGTTTTAAAGCAATCCTTTTTAAGAGACAATCGTTTAACAAACAATTATAAAGTTTGGAAGAAACAACATGCATGTGTACTTTTTCAAACTAATTCAAAATTCCACGATTTACAATTGGAATAGTTTTTAATAAAATTCCACCTTACATGTATGTCCGAAATCCATCAACAAATTAGATATGTATCGCAATAACAAACTCAAACTGCGATTGAAATTTATAATCTAAATTAAGCACCAATGAACAATCTCACCAAGTTTTAAAATAAACTTACAATGACTCTTTGTCCTGTGTCATGTTCACAAACTTTCATGTAAGATCATTTAAGTTTGAGCGTAAAAAGTGGCTCTGTGATTTGTAATCGAAAAATTATAAATTTCAATATGTTTATTTCCTGTAACTCACTGAACAATCTATGCAAATTTTTTCAAATAATCTGTGAAGAACTCTGATGCGTAGAATGTATATGTACATTCCAGATGTGTGTAGAAAAAATTATTCATTTTACATGTTTGTATATACATTAACATTTCTTATTAAAATAATACATGTACATCGTACTTTTGCAGTGACTTGTAGTAACATTTCTGCAATATTTGTCTATAACTTCCTTTTTCCATTTAAGATACATTATGGGAGATTAGTTAAAGAGCTGGCAATTCTCACTATAATAGTTAAAAACTAGATAACGTACAGGCAATTTGCTGAAAATTTCAGTCAAATTGATCCACTATGAACTGAGATTTCAGTGATTGAATATTGGGGCTAGCTTCGATCAACATTAATAAAGTCGGTAGGATAAAAAACATAGTCTCGATTATCCATTTTTTGATTTAATTATGAATGGACGTTGAACAGCAAATTGGAACGAATCCAATAAACATTGCAGGCTAGTGATGCCATCAAGAGTTGATTATGGTCTGGATACATGTAAATCAATTAATGTCTAATTAATAACTTAGATAACATTTCAAGCCTAATGAAAGACCTGCAATTGGCATATTTAGCTCTTGCATAATGTAAGTTTAAGTTTTTTTCATTTGTGAATTAAATTACAATTTACTCATTTCTATGCTAACATATAAGTATTTTTTAATACTTACTAATAATATAATTAATAATCTAGACACATTTTAATGATCATGACTCTCAATAACACATGTGTTAAGTATGATATTTTTCGAGGAAATATGATATTATCAATATCCTACTTCCTGCTTTATATAATATTTTATATCACATACATGTACATGTACAAACAATACAACTTGTAACAAATATATTTTTCAACATACACTTGTAGGCAAGATAATTGTTCTCAATATAAATTTATAACTACATGTACATTATAACTACAGATAACCCAAATTTATTAATCAAAACATAAAAAGCAAAATCCACTTAAAATGTGTTCTATTCTATCTTGCAGGCAAGGCAACATTGGGTTCCATGGTTGCTTAGTGAGTATTGCACTGTCTCCCTAACCTGGAGGTCCTAGTGTTGATTCAGAAAATTCCTCAGAGGGCCTGGCAAGGAAAGAGCATCTACATGTAGTTGTTTGGATGCAAGAAACTGAGGTGAACTTGTTTATTTGTAACCCTACCTACATGTATGTAAATCAAAAAATCTCTTGAACAATACATCCGATAATAAACTATAGCTTAAACCAAGAATGAAAATTGTTACAATAGACAAGAAAATTGGCCAAAATATTCAAATCTAAGCTCAGTTAGGTGTGATCAACTATGAAACTTACAATCGAAACTATGTGCACTTCCCAAACCATTAAGATGTGGTATCATATCATCTATCTAATATAAAGGGTTGGATGTCTTCTGAGGATGTACAGGATTGACTTGCAAATCTCATCAATTTTTATTTTATGTCTTTGGAATTTTCTTTTTGTGATTTATTTAAGTTGGATCTTATGCTTACTCAGCTAACATTAAAAGCTTTCATGGGTAACTGTGAACCCACTATAAAAAATGTCTCTACAATTGCAATTCCTACATGTAAATTAAATGACATACCACAACAACTATCAAACATGTTTTAACAAAACAATACAATCTGTCGTTGAAATATACTCATGTCTATTTGTACTGATCTCTATATAAAATAATGTGCTGTTTTCCCGTCAGAATTGCTTATTGTGACTTACATCACATGCACTAGACCTAGGTTTAGCGCACTGTGGTTCATTGATGATAGGTTCCGGTTTTAATCTAAACAGTGCTATCACATGCAGCCGATGCAGGGTACATAATGTTAAAACTTTATCGGATATACCAGATGCAAATAACCTTGTAATGCCTGGCACTGCTTAATGTACCACTATTTTGGGCTGACTATTATATGATATGACTATATTTAATATTGACAGTTCACCAAGTTATATTTAGTGCATGTCATTGCTGTTAGCCATTTATAATTTTTCTAAGTATGCATTCATTTCAGTTGTCATTCAATATTTGACCCATGAATGAAAGACATCATCAATTAATCGTGACATATCAATGATTGTTGGTCTCTGTGCAGGCTACAAGGCTTATTTAAGACAGACTGGAAGTGACTATAACAAAAGGATAATAAAAAAAAATATATGTAAACAATGCTGTCGACTTTACAAACCGACACTAAATACCCACCTGTCATGTCGGAAGATTCGCCCGATGGGGGTCCATTATCTCTATGAGCCCCTATACACCCTCCCATATTGTCAAGGGAGGGGGAGACTGCTTCGTGTGGTTATTTATATTTTCCTTATTTTGTTTTTACATACAATAGATTTTTCATGGTATTCATTCACCTTTGGGTTAAAATGACGTCACGGCCCACATTGCGAAAAGTAACTTATTTCATTGGTTAACTGTGCATGAAATATCCTTTTGGCATACAACTTAAAATCAACATTCTTTGATAGATACATTTTTCACTCGATTCCCCATTTATAAATTGTGATATTTTCCAACAAAAATATATTTTGAGATTTTTACGAAATATTTCCTGCGGAAAACCAAAACAGGTGCTTGTTTTCAAAACTTTGCATCGTAATATTATAATGAAACGAAATTAGTAATTTATACAAAATGACGTTTGTATTTATCAAGAATATCTTGCAAACCGTTTCTTGCAACTAATATTTAGATTTAAATCTCCAAATCATTTTATGTTTTAATCCAAATTCATCAGTATTTCTGTTTTTAAAATTTAATTCACCCGTTCGTTTTGTCGTTCCACAAATTGTAATAAACTACAAAATGTCAGCCGCCATGTGGAAGAAATTGGTGGAAGACTATTTACAAGAACCTAGCGATATAACACCTTCAAAAATTGCAGAAGGTACCAAATTACATTAGCATACAATACAATCGAGGAGATTCCCAACTAGGCTTATAACTAAAGATGTCATCATCTTATAAAAAAAGAGCTAAATCGAATGCCAGTTAACTCGTCCACAAGCAAACTCGTCACGTCTCGTCCACACGAAAAGTCTAGTTATAAGTCGTTCACAAATATCAAAACTCGTTTAATTTTAGGGACACCGAAGGTATTCATAAGAAGTATAATTTAGTGTACTCAGTTGTGCTTTATCATCATACCCACGTGGTTTTCATAGTGTTTGATATGAGTATAATTTTCTTTACGTCAAATAATTGGCAGACTATTGCCTTAAGCTAGAGCGGTCGTGTTCATGAATAACAAACAACAAAATAAATCATTTATTCAATAAATAATCAATAACAATTTCATTAATAATAATTTGATGATCCCGTAACTATACTACTGTCACAACTGTCGTAAATTTTAAACAGATTTCTTCGATTATAAACTTGTTTGAAATTACCTCCAGTTAAATAAAAGCCATTGTACAACTAAATATCCCAGCAAATAAAAAAGTTCTCTCTTGTAAAATTGAACTCATCACAAACTTGGACATCGAGAGATTCCAAAATGGAAGCAAATTATGTCACTTATCGGGATAGATCATTTCATATAAGGGGGTTGCAGCATTTGGCTCTTTTACGACAATTCAAATTTTGTGTATGAATAAGCTATTGTTCTAGGACCAGTAATGAGTTTGGGCGTTTACAAACATAAATACGCCAGTAGTCCATTATTTTGTTTCCGTCTTGTAATAATTATTTGGTTATAGAGTTGGGTTGGATTCTTTCTTTTGAACACAGGTGGAGAACAAAAAGAACGGCATTCGTTTTACGGGCCTTAAATATCTTTAATATTTCCTGATGAACTTAACCTCGGCAATCTGCAGTAGCCGAGGTAAATGCGCAAATGCCAATGTATTTTACATTTGCCTCAGAAAAATTAATAGCCGAGGCCATTGAATCACTGAATAGGTATATAATGTTATTTTTTTTTATAAATACCAAAAATTATCAACAAATAATACCGCGTATTGGTTTAATTATCGGCAGATAGTTCCATGTCTTTCTACCCGGTATTTCTCTTCGAATATTATTTCTGTCGTGCAAAACTGTTCAGAATTTTACAATCGTGCATCTCGATAACACAATTAATTTCCGAAAATCACGGCTTCGTTTGAAATTCACAGTGCAATGTACTCTCAGTTATCAACTGACTATATATTAATCACAAGTAAAACTCCATTTTGAAATCCATGGAGAATGGAATTTTCTGATGGCATTTCGTAGATCTCGATCATGCCTCAGCCAGTCAACGCTTTGAATTCAATTACTGTAAAAGGTACCACGGCATATGAGTTATTGTATGCTACACAGATGTAGTGGAAATGGTTAAATTTAACGCAAAACTTGCACAAGTTTTTCACACGATCTGCATAATTAACACACAAGATCCAATAATACACGCAATCTGCAATGCCTCTTTTGATAAGTGATTTTCTATTTTAAATACATTTTTATAAAGATGATAAACGATGTTTAGACATCCCGAACTGTTAAATGAACAAAAAAAAATAATTTATTAATCAGGAATATTATTGACAAGAACAGTCAGAACGTGAATTAAATGTGGAAGTTATTGAGAAGCGGTGGCTTTTTTTCATAGTTTTTGTGGTAATCATAAAACTTTGAAAATGGACTAATAACCACAGAGCATTGGGATTAGACCCAATTATGAAATATGATCAATTAGAATTATGAAATAAAGTGTGTTTATTTATAAATGTTAGCCACAAAGTTGCCTATAATTGACAGGAATGTAATATCATTTTTAAAAATATATATAATATACAGGGTATTTACAATTCTGGGGTGATAATGATGTGAAAAGCAATATTATATTTACGAGTATTCGTGTAATTGCTGATATATTCATTGTGACTTAAATTTAGACTGACAATCAATTGTTTCCAAATTAATGTTACTGTCTTCGGTTGCTGTTTGTTGCCCAAACTCAAACGATCCAAAAGGTTGTGCGCTGTCGCTGCCTTGATTGCAACACACGTGAATGTCAAAATTTGTCAACCTTTAACTCCCTTCAATATATTACAATGGTTCAGCTTATCACGTGACATGTACAATGTTGTGATGGAGATGGTCGAAAATACAAGCAAACATATTGACTTTTCAAGAGAGAACTTTTTTCCCATTGGGACATTTAATTGTGCAATGGATTTTATTCAACTGGAGGTGATTTCAAACACTTAGGCAAGTTTTTAATAACAATTGTTCAGTAGTTTGTTTACAATCGAAGAAATCCGTTTATAATTTACCATGGTTCAGACAGTAGCTGGTTGTTCACAGGGAGTAGATCTAGTAAGTTGCCTTTTTGAAAATAGACCACATGGCAAATGAAGACAATCCAAACAGTTAGTGCATTTACTGGTAATTCAATCTGATTAATATACAGATCTATATTTCATTTCGTTTTTTATGCTTTCGATAGCCACAATTACATGAAGATCTGACCAGATGTAGTGGAAGGTTGTGTCAGGGGTCATACGATCGGCTTTTGACCCTAGACATCAGGCTTTTGATTTACTAATCACTAATCAGCGTTGATGTGATGTTTCTACTAGAATACCCCCAGTTCTGTGCATTGCACATCAAGAACTCGCTGCAACAGACCGTTTCATTGGCTATTCCCTTACATGTACATTCAACCAGAACGTGGGACGTGAGTTATATAACAATTCTTCCAGATCCTAGTGTAATAAAGACAAGTAAAACGAAATTTTCAACTATAAAAAACTAAACGAAATAGACTCTTTGTTTTAATCGGATAATACTGAACCGTCTGATATCCCAAACTATTCTCTACAGGTACAGAAATACGATATTATATTCATTATTAGCTATATATTAACCCTTTTAGGGGGATAACAACATTAATATCATTTTCCGATACACACGCTTTACAGGGATAGCGACATTAATTTCATTTCACCGTAAGTCATCAAATTAACAATGTACACCATTGGCTGTGGGAGATAATTTTTATCGACTAATGGGTGAAAGAAGTGCATGATCTAAATTTTTAGAATGGTAACTCTTATATTGTTTTGATTTGAAGTTGGATATTACCGTTACTTAGCAATAACAAAGTCAAATAAATGTTTTCTAAACATTAAAATCATAACACCAAACAACAAACAATAACAAGTAACAAAATCTAAAATAACGTCAAACAACGCGAGTATACTTTATTACAAAAACATCGGTGAACTGATCTCGGCCGTGATCGGTCAACCAATCTAGTTGATTATTGGATAAATAAAAGAATTATAAACAATAAACAAAGAAAATTTATTTATTCCATACAATTAAAATGTGTACGAGTCAAGTATTAAATAGTTGTGGATGACATACATGTAACCATTAGTTGTGGATGACATAACCAATACTTTGTGGACAACTTTACCAGTGGTTGTGGACAACTTAACTGTGGATGAGTTTGCTTGTGGATGAGTTAATTGGCACCTGTTGAATGGTATGGTGGTCTGAATGAGCCTTGAATTTTGGTCCGAATGAGCCATGGTCAGAATCAGCTTGGTTTCAAAAGAGCAATTCCAAATATATTGCACAGCAGCTACAAATTTGTAGTCCTTGTTGCAAGACCGTTGCCACAATATTACTTATAGATAATACATGTAGATGTCAGATGTGTTTGTTTCTAGCTATGAATGGCTGCCTTAAAGACACCTTGCAAACCAATTTTGTTGAATATGTAACAGGCATTGGCTGAGTAGAGCGAAGCTGACTGTATATAAAACCTTCACAATTAAAGATGCATTATCTAATTGTATGAGCCTGTGAGATTTAAAAATTTAAATTCAAATTGATAATCAAGATGTAGTCCTATGCTACATCTTCAAATGTCATAACTTTGCTGAGAATAAAGTAATTTGAAGGAAATTGTCAATAGATTTTTCATTATCTATTTTTGAACTATCATATCAAGAATGGCTAGCTCTTTATCTAAATTTGACATAAGGCATCTGTAGGCCTTTCAAGTGCAGCAAAAAATGTTAAATAATTTCGTCTTATGTGAAATTCCAAATTTTTAATGTGAATTGTATATGGGTGGAGATTTGATTTCATTGACGTTATATATATCTTTGCAGGGTTCCCGCGGTCCTTGAAAATCCTTGAATATCCTTAAATTTAAAATTTCATTTTCAAGGTCTTGAATATCCTTGAATTTCGCGGAAATAGGAAAATATCCTTGAATTTCAGTTGAGATCCTTAATTTTGTTTCAAATGTCCTCAATTCCTTTTAAATATGAGATTATAACGATAGTTGGTAATGTTTTGGTTATTTTTAAGATGAAAAATTGTAACTTTAGGCTAAAAAATGTCCTTGAAAATCCTTGAATTTGACGTATATTTATCCTTGAATATCCTTGAAAAAATGTTTGACGAAGCCGCGGGAACCCTATCTTTGATATACAGTTAATGGTCCTAAAATCTATTAATCTCTCCCCTAAAATCTATGAACCTGTGATTCCGATTTGATATGTGGCCATCAATTGCCACCTTTAGAAAATCCCTTGAAAGTTTGATCATTTAGGATCATTTAGTTACATGTTACATGTACGGTAAATTTCTTTTCATTCTAAATTCACTTTCAGGGTTGCAGAATGGAAGCATACAGCTACTGGAGTGTATGGAACACTTGGGGTATGGTAAACAAATTTGAACTTTGAAAATTATTGCTACATGTAGCTACATAATTGTACATGTTTTCTTAAATTTAATAAAGGGGAGAGCTAGAAACTGTTCTTTAAATAGTAATTTAGATGATTAAAACAAAATCCATTAGGGTTAGAGGTCATGTTGGCTGTAATGTTCATAGATAGAAATGCATTATCCTTCACTCGTCTACTGGGTGGTATGTAGTTGTCAGTGTGACATGAAATAGAGAGTAATTTCAACTTTAGATTGCCATAATTTATGTTAGGATTGATCGATTTTAGGACCAAGATTGCTTTTTAATATATATGTACTGAACGTCTGTATCTTCTTTATAGTATTTTGGGACTTTAACATAATAATTTGAAAAAGGCACAGTTTGACTGTACAAATCAATTCCTGACTCAGATAGATCAAAAGATCCGGGGTAATGGTATTTTAAAGTAAGCATTACACATTTTGAGTTAGTGGGCATATAATAATTGAATGGGAAAATAAATGAATTACATTATGTAATGGTCAGTTATTGATTTTTTTTTTATTCCAGACCTTCTTTAACTAATACTGACACAAGTATTCGAGGATGTGCCACTAAATTAATAGCAGATATCTTACATAATATCTCATCTAGTTGTTTATCTAATCAAGAGGGTAAACATCATATTTTATTAATACATTTTGTTATGTCTTAAATTTTTCATTCCAAATTTTAAAATTTTGTAGAATGGGTGGCCCATGTTTTAAAAAAAATGCTTATATTTTCAAGCATAATTTACATTTAAGCAATTATAAGCTTTTGAAAAATTTTGTTAGTAAATATTGTTTATTTGAACAAAAAATCTTGTTTCTTATGTTTTCAATCTTATGTTTTTAGTTGGTGTTTTAACAAGATTTTTGTGTGAAAAGTTATGTGACCATCATTCTATACAGCCACCAACACTTCATGCATTGGCAGCATTGGTAATTATTAATTTGATTTGAATTGCATCTTCAACCCTCATAAAATAGAAGCCATCATTTTAACATTCAAGTGAATAGATGTTCTGTTGATCCTTGCCCACCAAGCGAGATCAGTACAGCACAAGAAGTCTGTTTTAGGTGTGATCATGACGTTCTGCACTGACAGGGCTTATGAAGATGGGCACATGCCAGGCATCAGCGCTACAGCCTACTTTTATTTTGAATTCCAAGTGTTAAAGGTTCTTTTACATGCATGCCAATGGTTTTTAGTCTTTTCCCAACGACTAAATGTTGTTCCTTGCCAGGCCCTGCGTCCTACACTTCTGACAAGGACGAACCACGCCGGAAAATCCTGATGAACATTGGGATCAAATACGGCACCTCCAGGATAATGAGCCAACATCTTACACACTGAGCCACCCGGTGTGATTATAACATGTCTTTTGAAAGTAGATGGTTGGTCTCCTACTTTTTATTTTCGGACATGTTTAGTGAGAGCAATAATATCTCCCCTTTTATGACAAGATCTGAAGAAACCTCAAACACAATTTTCCATTAGCACGATGTAAAAGTAGAGAGAGAATACGTCACCCTAAAAACCAGTGTATATAGAAAACTAACGCACACAGACCAGTACGTACACTTCAAATCTAACCAACCAATCAGTATCAAAATTTAAAAGAGCAACTTATCATCCTTAGTAAAACGAGCAAAAAAATTTTCAACACCTGAGAAACTAGATTGAGAGATGACCCACCTCAGAAAAGTTTTTACCATCTTCAAGGACTATTCACCTTGTATATTTCAGGTCACGTTTGATAATTTACCTGATGGGTGTTCTGAACAGATTTGTCGTCAAATATTTAGAGAAGTCCAAAACCAGTCGTTGAGTCAAGTGGATCGAAGGAGTGTCTATAATATTATCAATAGTTTGTTATCAACAAAACTTGCCGGTAAATGCACAGATTTTTAGGGATGTTTTTCTGCTTTCATAAGTATCAAATTACAAAATACCAAACACAACCTGTAAACTCTTTTGCTAGCACAAACCGCCCACAAAGTGTTGTGATTCCATCAGGCATGCCCAGGAGTTGATTAATTATCTGATATTTATACACAGAGTTTAAGTTCATGAGACCCAAAAAAGTCTATTGAATGTCAACAACATCCAGTAATTAAAATCAAAAACACACTTTTATGGATAACAATTGTGTTTTTGATTATGTTCCAATTACTAAATGCCATTCAAAGAATAGAAAACATCCAGTAATTACTTCTTAGTTATTTCCCTTAATCACTAAAGTTATCATTAAACTGACTTTATGTACAGTTTTTATGTTGATGTGACAATAATCCAATTGATTTTCAATGATTTCCAATAATTACATTCAGATTAAATGTTGTGGATGCCCAATTTGCTAAGTTGTTATCTGACTTTTTATACGCCCACATTTTCATGTGGACGTATATTGTCGTCGCCCCTGTCCGTCCGCCAGTTCATCTACACTCACAGGTCACAATTTTCATCCGATTTTGACAAAACTCCAAATATAGGTTTATATCCCAAAGATCTTGGTTCCTTTCGTTATTGGCATGTATCGGACTGTAACTTCGTGGATTATGGCTCCTGATTGTACGGAAAATCATGTTTTTAGCTTGTCGACACTCTAGAGGTCACAATTTTGATCCATTTGTGATAAAACATAAAATGTATGGTTATTACCCAAAGATCACGATTCCTTTCGATATTCGCACATATTGATACGTAGCTTCTTGGATTATGACCACTGATTGTACAAAAAATCTCGATTTTATTTTGTGAACCCTCTAGAGGCCACAATTTTTATCCGATTTATAAAAATGTTCTATTATGTCACCGTTACACCATAATAATGGGTGAGTTCGAATTTCATGAAAATCAGACCAAAACTGCAGGACAAAATGGCTGCCGCTCGTAGGCAAATAGTGTAAAAATATGGTATATCGCGGTTATGTATGGTGGCTGTTAGCGGCCATTCAAATGAATCTAAATCGTCACCTTGTGACAAGTCGCCTTCATTTTGTCGTGTCGGCGGGTTGATTTCGTCGACTTGTCGTGCGGCGACTTGTCAAACTCGAGCATGGTCATTTGCTGATTGGATAACTTGCATGCGCACAGATTAACTTCCGAGGCGACAAGTCGCCGCCCAACAAGTCGAAATAATTGTATTTCGTCGACTTGTCGCCTTGTCGTTTGTGAATAAGTCGAAGGCGACAAGTCGCCGCACGACGAAATCAACCCGCCGACACGACAAAATAACCCGACGATCGTCGCCTTCATTTTGTCGTGTCGGCGGGTTGATTTAGTCGACTTGTCGCCTTCGACTTATTCACAACCCGACAAGGCGACAAGTCGCCGCACGACGAAATCAACCCACCGACTTGTCGACTTGTCGCCTTCTTCCCAAGGCGACGATTTAGATTCATTTGAATGGCCGCTAACAGCCACCATAGTTATGGACCCTCTAGACGTCACAATTTTGATCTTAAATTACATGTTTATAACCCAAAGATCTTGGTGCCTGTCGATATTCGCACAGATCGGATCTTGACTTCCTGAATTATGACCCGAAACTGCCTGACAAAATCGGTGCTCCTTGTACACAAATAGTGTAAAAGTATGTAATACCAAGGTTGTGAACCCTCTAGAAGTCACAATTTTTGTCTGATTTTGATGAAACTTAAAATATATCTTTATATCCCAAATATCTCAGTCCCTTTTGATATTCGTGCATTTCAGGCCATAACTTCCTGGATTATGGCCCATGATTGTACGAAAAATCGCTTTTTTTTTCCAGCTTGTTCAGCTTGTGAGCGTATCTTGCCTGGCAACCGCTGGTTGGTTATGTTAATGCTCAGACCAAATCATTGTCATATGATAGTGTTAATTTTCAGAGTTACAGACAATGAAGAGTGATTTTGTACATGGATATATTCAAACTATGGATGCAGAGAAGGATCCACGGAACTTGATCTTAGCCTTTCAGATATCTAAAACAGTTATCTTGAATTTCTCTTTAGGTAACTTAATGTTTGATTTTAAGTATACTAGATTAGAAAACTGACCTCATCATATGTAAAAAGCCTGTTATAATTTATTTCAATTCTTTTGTAAATGCATTTTAAAGGGATTTGAACCAGAACATAAATAATCTCTGCATAATTAGTTCTTAGAATCCTATGTGGGGCTTAATGTACGCTTCCACGGAGGGTGAATCTGTATCATTTGATAGTGATTACAAAGGTTTACATTAAACCGAACCAGAGCACATTATTTCTGTATAAATAGTAAAATTTCAAGCATGCGACAGGAGCCCTAGCTATAATACACAGTTGTTAATGTTTTTTTCTTTTCAGTTGTTTTTGTTGAAGAAATGTTTGAAGTGATTTCTTGTTATTTTCCTGTTAGTTTTACACCGGTTGGTACTCAATTATTGTCATATTATCTGAGAGGGCACTCGAAGGCGAGTCCCGTGATACAGAGGTCTGTCACAGTTCTGTCAGTAAAATGATGTGCTTACTCCGTACATGTGCGAAATGCCAAGTTGAACTTGTAGCAAGGTTCCAAGCATGATGCCTGTCTATATTCATGTTGGAACTGTTTAATATGGGTTGCTTTGATAGAATTTTAACAACAAATACCCAGATTTCATCATTTCAAATACTTGTTCTAGAGTGAAATACAAAGTGATTTAGATGATACAACTCCCTTAATTCTCTATTTGTCTCAAAAAGAATTTTTATTTGCTACAAGAAAACCAAACACTTAAAATTGAAAAATAATATTGCAAGTTATCTGCCTTGCATAGGATGCCAGCTCCCTTGAGACCAACAAGTTTATAATAATTCTTTAATTGTAACACAAGTTTATAATAAATCTTTTATTGTAACAGGAAAACAAAATTAAATAGCTGTGTTCATTTAGTAGAACAGTTTTTTTTTCCAACTTCATATTTTTATTTACCACCATTAGCTGTGCAATACTTGCTTAACACAGCTAGTAAAGATAAGAGTGTAACTACACTCATGAAAATACTACAGTGATTATTAATATTATTTTCTTTTTTTTTTCATCAGCCACCAGATAACCCACATGGTATAACTAAAGAAGATTTGGTTTTATCTCTGAGAGCTTGTCTAGCTTCTACACCTTTATTTGGTGAATATTGTTTACCTTTACTGTTAGAAAAACTCACTTCAGATATACAATCAGCTAAAATAGATTCATTACAAACACTAGTAAGTATAAAACTTTTATCTCTATTACTTGTACTGTCTGTCTTTTTTATACAGTTGGCTGTGATAAAATACAATTGTAAGTTTTACAGTTGCTCTACTTGGATATAACTATTTGTTCTGTTCTGATTCTAGGCAGAGTGTGCTAGTGTATATGGTAGCAGTGCATTGAAAGAGTATATTAGTTCCTTCTATTCTTGTATCAGAAAAGAGGTAAATATTTTAAAGAAATAGTCACTGGTAAATATGATGATTATATTTAAGTGAAAATAACATCTTTTATATCAGTACATATTGTATGACCAAATATTATTTCTGGTATTCTGAATATTATTGACCAATCTTCTGGGAATCTGCTGAATGTTGGCATATATCAAACATAAACTTGACATGGTAGTACCTGACAAGGCAATACTAACTGAAATGTGTGTCAAGAGCTTTGTTTTTTTAGCCGTATAAAGCTTTTTTGATGTGCCCCGTTACCAATTTATAGAGCATGCACAGAACAGGATAGTTGTACTGTATAAATTGAAAGTTGCCATGTTAAGATGGATTTGTATAAGATATATTGAGATATATTAACAATTACTTTATATCTGTAAAGGTTGTAGAAGAAGATAGTGAACAAGTAAAATATGCAGGTTTAAACGCTTTATCAGCTATTATATCTACTTTATCATCAGATATATCAGATGTAAGTATCAATATTTTTGTGTCTTTTATCTGCATGATAGTGTATAAATTAGCTTTTATCTTTTGTTTGCCAATATTAGTTTAAAGTTCATCAATATTCACTGGAATCTTGATTACCGGTATTTCTTTTAATAGAAATATCATTAATTCTTTGAATTTGTCATTTTCTGTAAAATTATTATTTTTTATGTTTTGTGGTGTATATTTCATATTAAGTCACTTTTTTTTTTTGTCATTTGATTTTTTGACAGCTTTTTATGTTTTATTACGTATATTTCAGATTGAATCACCCTCTGTTTTAAAGAGTTATATAGAAGAAATATTAGCAGGTAAATCATTAGATATTTTTTGTCTAACTATGTTTTTGTCTATTCAATTTAAATACAGATCTTAAGGGCGTTGAGTAGTCTAAGATACGCACTAACTTTTCAACACCAATCTTATTAAGACTTTTCTCACTTGTTCCATGTGTAAAATAACCCAGAGGACACACAACAGTGGAACTCTTTGTTGTGTGATAATGGAGGTACCAGCGGAAAGAAAAAAACTATTTATAGCAAACGAGAAGGTTTCCCCGACCTAGATCAGTTCTTGAATAAATTATGACGTTGTGTACACCGTTCACGTCATCCACTATCCACTATCTAGATATGACGTCAGAAGGAGTTCCCTCTAAGAAGCGAATATCCAGGTCTACCATCTATCCTGGAACGTGGCTGAATTAATTTTTGATGATCGAAGACTGCCATTTTTGAATGACTAAAATGATTTTTTAGAGCGGCCGAGTAGTGCACTGAAGTAGATATTGTAGTATTTTAAAACTTGTTGTGGATGTATTCAAAGAATAATTCCAAAATCACAAAATCTCGTTTGAAGGTAAATAATGAACAACGATTTTAAAATACTTTGAGTTAATATTTTACAATGTTTATGGTGTGGAAATGTTGCTTATAACCTCTACTTACCATCTACTGGAGTGATTATTGATATCTCTTTTTAGCATGTACTAATAGAGTTTCTAAAAAAAACTAATCTTTTTTTTGCGTTTCCATGGATACCAGACAAACCACAGCCTATAGCGAAAAATTGTCAAAATTTAAAGAAAATCTGTGCATGCATAACTGAGACTTTGTTGTCATCAGCACCCTTTATTATCATGCTTTTGGGCCAAGTTTAAAACTAGTTGGTAAATAAAATTAGTATTTTTTGGTGATAAATATGTAGTTTACCACCCAAAATAACAAAAAATCTCATATCTTATCAACAAAAATTACAGTGCTAGCTTTAAAATGTGCATTTTAGACTGCTCAATGCCCTTAAGAGTTCCTTGTATGCGGTTTTTCTTTACATTCTGTGAATAATACAATCAATCAAACTATTCATGAATAAAATCCTTGAGTGGCATTTAGTGATTGAACACATTAAAAACACAACACAGTTTATATGGAAATACAATCACTGGTTTATAGGCATAGCATGACGTTTCGACAAGTATTCTCTTATCGTTATCAAGCACAAATCATTTGTGCTTGATGACGATAAGTGAATAATTGTCGAAACGTCGTGCTATACTTATAAACCAGTGATTGTATTTCCATATAAACTGTGTTGTGTTTTTTTTATTCATGAATAATTTGCCTATTCTACGTATAATCCCAACTAGATCACCACCCACTTTTGCATTTGTGTTATTGATTTAACTTTATGATTTTATATTCATTTTAATAATATTATTGTTTTTCTTCTATTTTTAGAATATAGAGTGTATTTGTTGAAGTCTGATGTAAAGATATTATATAGTACTAGTTCATTATTACATTGTATATGTAGAACTAGTTCTATAGCATGCTGTATGGTGTTAACTACAGTTATATCAGCTATATTATTACAATATTACAATCAAACACAGGTACGGTTATATCATCTATAGTATTACAGTATAACAATCAAACACAGGTACATCTTATATGTTCCAATCAAATTTTGTGTAATGAAAATCTACTATATGTAATGATTCTTTTTTGCCGTTATAAAATGGAACCTGTATTGACACAAAAAGACTGCATATTGCACTTGTTGGTAACCAAAGCCACAGCCTTGGCAATGGAATCCATACAGTCAAATGGAATTAACCACAACCGAGACAGAACAGATTATCAGATAATGTTTCCAATCCAACACTGAGTAGCAAAAATAGCCAAGATATTTAACTCAGATTCTGTATTACAGTATCAAAAATATATGGAGAACATAAAAAGGATTAAAAGCTATAAGGTAATGAAATGAGAATATTTTTTTTATGTATTACAGATATTATGTAGAAGGTGTTTAATAGATATTTTAAACAGATATATTACCTGCGCATCTAGTCACAATACAGATTCAGGTAAAGTTAAATCATTGCGGTCTTCACTAAATATGTTACATTAGTGTCACTTATTGAGAACTGGATACAGCCTACACATAAAGCTGTGATTAAATTATCCAATTCAAAATCTTAATGGAAAAGCCTGTCTTACTTACTGGATTAACTCTTAAACGACCCAGAGGTTTGACGTCATAACGTCATAAAAACCCACGTCCTAATGGTCAATAGTATTAAAATATAGATATGCATTTTAAAGTCATATCATTAATAAACAACTGTAGATAGACCCTTAATGTAAATGGATGAAATGATCTAAATTTAATGCCATTTTCATAAATATAAATTTATACAAAAAATTAATTTAGACATTTCATGCAAAATTCATGCATGTAATGTTTATTTCTTTTTTTTTTTTGTTCGGCTGTTGTGAACTAAAAATTATTCATCATGAATCTCTTTTAATTTAAGCTTATTTAAGTACCGTTATAGAAATTTGTTGATTAACTTGATTAAGCAAGCCTACTTCTATCACGTTCTAGGCCTAACGCAAAACTGTAAAAATCTACACTACAGACAAAATCTGAATCACTGTCATTCAATAAGGATGGTAATCCGTCATTAGGAGAACGTTGCCGAATAGGTCTAGACATATCACCGTTTTATTATAATTTTCCAAGGAGAAACAGTAAGATTTTTAACTGTCAAAATGTCAAACAGGAAGTAAACAAATGAGATAAAGTCGTCTGTTCATAAGGGAAATAACTCTCATTATGCTAGGAACGTTGCATTCGGCTAACCAGTATTGTCGACAAAAGTCGCCGTGGGTACTTAACGGTAACGTTATAGGTGTCGACAAAAGTCGCCTTGGGTCAGTTAAGAGTTAACTGTCCTAACAGAATTATGTCTGAAATAAATTCACACATTCCAAGAATAGCATGAATATATTGAGAAATGAGGAATGGTATTTATATTTAGTCTTCATTATAAAATTTCAATATCGCCCACCTTGACTAAAATTCTACCTCAATGAAATGAAAAATGCAATGATGCAATTGTTTTACTCATTATTCATTATATTTTATTGAAAATATTTTCTAGTGTTATCCATAGTACAGTCCCATAAAACCGATTTACTCAAAACATATACAGATCTTATTACTACACGAGATAAAGACATGAGTTGTCATGGTATCCAAGGAGTGGCAGCCATCTTTAATTGTAGAAATGTTTTAACCGAGAAAGAAGCAGACGAACTTGGACACCATCTTGTTAAAATACTTCTCAACAATAAAGACAAGACAATAAGGTATAGGCGGTTCATTTTGCTTTTTCTCACAGCAGTAGGGCTTTTTTCAAATGACCATTATAGAGTTTTGATAAAATGAAAATTATTGTAAGAAATCACATCCTTCTCTTATCAATGAATAGAAGACACAGATTATCGAATGATGATATGGAATTTTTTTTGCTCTTCTTCAAAATAAATCTACAAATTCTGTCTAAATATAAATATTGATACAAAATAATATTTTTAAAAATATTTATTAGATGTGAAACTGTATCAGCATTGAAAATTTTATCTCAGAAGTTTACCGATGTGGTCAAGACTTCAATTTTACCTAATTTGATTGACTCTCTCAAGTATGGTAAGTAGCAATTATGGTGTGTATATAAAACATTAATAAAGATAATCAGTATCGATTTGTATAATATTCCAATAAATAAATAGCTAATTTATATCTTCATTAGGGGGGGGTTGGATGGCTGAATGGTTAGCATGTGCGTGCTGTATCATATCATAAGGCCTGTCATTGAGTCAACTGCCGTGGTTTCGAATCCCCGGTTGTACGTGACAAGGAGTAGGATCGCCTGTCCAACCTTGTGGGTTTTCTCCGGGTCCTCCGGTTTCCTCCCACTGTTAAAGACCCCTACATGCAAGCGAATTATTGAAATAAAATTAAAACCATGTTAGTCCCGAAATGACCTAGTTTGTGTCGAGTGGATGTTAAACCCCATTTCTCTTTCTCTCTATATCTTCATTAGTATACCGCTTTGAAATTACGTAGAAATGTTCTTTCTAGTATGGGGGTAATGGTGGCTAAGTGGGTAAGACGCTGGCTAGCTAGCCTGGAGGTCGGGTGTTCGATCCCTGCATTGACAGAGAAAGTTCACCCAGATTTTCCGGCGTGGTTCCCCCGTGTCGGTGATGCAGGATGGAGGGCCTGACAAGGACAGCTGTCTAGTCGTTCGGATGGTACAAAAGCCACAGTCCTGTGTACACATTAGCATGCGCGTAAAAGATCCCTTGACAGTTGGAATTCGATATAAGAGTGGCTGTAGTGGCACTGTCCGGGCATATCCTCATCTTCATTAGCCCAGTTAGGAGCAGAACAGTAGGACGTTAAACCCCATTTCATTTCTTGTATGGTTTCAGTTGTAAATGACCCCAAATCAAATGTGTTAAGTTTTGTGTTTCATTGGGTTTTTTTATCGCATATTCTATGTATATATATAGTCTTCTTTCCATTTATTTGTATCATTTGATTGATAAAGTCTAGCATGTCTTCATCAAAATAAATTAGTTCATTATATACTATTCAAAAAAAGTAGGGGATATTTGATTTTTAAGTGTTATTAAAGTCACCTAATGAAACTGACGAAGAAACAAATGACAAAATGAAATGAAGTTCACATTCATCGATTTATTCCAAATGATCGTTAGACTAAGTAAGGCACAGACTGACCATTATAAGGGTAAAATGATACCCGGGGTCAAACAGCAAAGTTACCACAGCATCACAACCAAGTCAGTAACGGGTAAATCCTCCTCTGTTTGCCAAACAAGCATTGATCCGACGTGGCATACTCCTAATGAGACGTCTAAGGTCATTTTGGTCCAGATTGTCCCATTCCTGTTGCAACGCAGCAGCAAGTTCTTGGACATTGGCAGGACGTTGTTGAAGTTGACGTAACCTCTGTCCAAGCATGTCCCAGACATGCTCGATGGGGGAGAGGTCGGGACTCAGTGCTGGCCAAGGTAATGTGGTGATGTTCTGTTGTTGGAGGTAACCTGTAACGATCCTGGCCCTGTGACATCTTGCGTTGTCATCCTGGAAGATGAAACGGCGGCCATGACGTCGTGCGAACGGCACAACATGGACTGCCGGTAGTACTGGCCTGTAACACGCCCTGCAACAACATGTAAAGCCGTTCTTCCAGCAACAGTGATGCCTCCCCACACCATAACAGAACCACCCCCAAATCGATCATGTCTGATGACGTTAACGTCTTGGAAGCGCTCGTTTCGACGACGCCACACCCTCCTACGTCTGTCCAAAAAATCAACAGTGAACCTTGACTCATCTGAAAACATCCCATTGCTCCAGCGTCGATTATCCCAGTGTTGACGATCCCTACACCAACGACGTCTTGCCTGAATGTGATGATCTCTCAAACAAGGGATCACGCGAGGACGTCGGGCGCGAAGGTGACCCCTATGCAGTCGATTCCGAATCGTCTGGCCACTCACTCTCACACCAGTGTCTGTTTGAAGACGAGCGCTGATCTGATTTGCTGTGATGACACGATTTATCAAGGCCAAGGTACGGATAAATCGATCCTGGGCTTGAGTTTTCGCCCTTGGTCGACCTGAGCGTGGTCTGTCCTGTACAGATTGTGTATCACGGTATCTGGACCATAGCCTGCTTATGACAGACTGAGAAACATTCATCGTCCGCGCCACAACCGCCTGTGTTGTGCCGATCTGTAGCATGCCAAGGGCACGTAACCTTTCATTTTGGGTAAGCCGACGCATATCAAAATTTGTTTTCTGGTCACTAAAACAATTAAACTGATGTTTCCACCCTGGAATTCAATGCCACAATGACTGTAACATTCAAAGTCAGAGTCGTGCAAATCTTGGGTTGGACCCCCATGATGATCCCAAGCATCACCTGCATTCCATGCGGTAGCTATTGGTGCGTTTGGGCGTCACATGTAACTGGAAATTTTTCTTCTGTTAGGTTCTATAGTGACTTTTTTCGTAGTCATTTGCATATTTTAGTATTATGCCCCCAAAATCAAATATCCCCTACTTTTTTTGAATAGTATATATCAATAACATTGTACCATGTGTTAATATTCTAATAATGTTTAATCAAAAAATGTTATTGGTTTTCACTTCCATGTTATTAAATCAAAAAGGTTGAAGCTTTCAGACTGTCTTTACAATTAATTAATAAATTAGCTCCTTTATATTTTGATGAGAAATGTATTTTGTCTATTTCAGAAAAGATGGATATTGAAGCAGAATATCATTTACCAGCAGAAGAATTATTATCTATAATAGCTGATATATCTAACCAGGTTTCTTTAATGAAAGATGTTTGTGATTTGATATTTCTACAACTAACAAATAATAATGGTAGGAACTACATTGATATTTATTTCTGGTTAGGAAATTTTTAATACATTTTTATCACAAAAGGGACGGAAAGAATTACTTTTATATTTATCTATGGTATTAGTAAATATTTGATAATGTTTATTTAAAAAAACAGGGGACGCTAAGAATTATTTTTATGTTTATTTATGGTTAAGAAATATTTTATACTTTTTATCAAAAAAGGGATACCAAGAATTACACCTTACAAAGCAAAGAAAAATATTTTTCTTGTTGGTATCATAGAAATCTTATGTTCCTTAATTGATAAATTGCACATAATTATTTTCATTGTATCATGCCTCTAATTTTCTTATTTACTTTCATAAGGCACTTATTTGAAATTATTATGAGAAGTACTTACATGCTGATCATTCTTTAAATCTATGTAATTTTTACAGATAAATTATGTAGTAATGCAGTTTTAACCCAGAGTCTCTATACAATGATTAATAATAACAAGCTGTCTAGTGATGTTATACAGTTTACTATAGATTCTATACTACCTAGAATATTACAACTTATACAACACCATTATACTACTCTAACATCAACTGATATACAATATCTAGCTAGCATTTACAGAATTACTATGGCAACCATAGATAACAGGTAAGCTCTACATAAATACATTCTTTCAGGATTGTATTTTATTTCAATGAATCTGATTTCAGATTTAGTTTCTGTTGTATTTTGAAACCTTAGTCAGGTCTGTGGTTAATTCATGGGATTGAAAATGATCACCAATCAATGATCAATTGTTTCAAGTCTTCTGTTGTATCTTTCTTCGGGTTTTGTAGCAATTCTTCAGCTACGAAGAATCACCCGCATATTTTAGTCAATGAATTCTGTTGGCTTATTATAACTTACTGATTGTAAGAATATGCATGGGAGACAATACATTCAATATTTTATAAAGTGCTCTACACATACGTTTCTGGCAATATTACATACATGTACTGTTGTTATAATGTTATTTCTACATTAACAATACATTTTTTCCTACATTTAAGTCCTGATGTGCCATTTTAAGCAATAGGACTCACTTGCAAACTACAATATTGCGAAAGATGAATATCATTCAAAAATAGTTCAATTCCGTTTAGTATTCATGGAATTGAAATTTCATTGATCTTATGCAAGAATCCCGCAATTTTGTTGTCCATGAAAATTTAATGAAAGTCCTGTTTTAAATCTGATTGAATCCATGCCAGGACATTTTCTAGTGTTGGTATTTCAAATTTGTTTTCTTAATTTAATGTTAAATAATCAATCTGAGTATATATTAACAGGATTAAGCCGTGAGAAATTCCAATAGTACATCAGGACTTTAATAATACTGTTATTATTATGTTATTCCTACATTAATATTTAATAATAATATTGTTTTATTTGTTATTAAAATGTTTAATAATACTCATGTATTTGATTTTCAGTGCATCAATTAATATAGTAAAACAAATAATAGAAGTGTTTTTACACAACAGTAACTTTCAACCATTAAAGGTAAATCCTAAGCTAATCTGACAATCATTTCTGGTGTACATGTCTACATTAACTCCTTCTTATAACTAGGGAAGTGATCTATGCATATGAATAATCAATGTTAAGTTTTAATAATAAATCATGTTCATAATGATAATTTTAACAACTGTCTTGTAACTTTCTGAACACACATAAAATGTCAAGTCAGAACCATGCTAACAGATTAAATCAATATGTGCTGGCAGTATCACTGTCGAGAATTGATAATAAAGTATGTAATCTATTATATTTTTAGAAGTCATCTGTACAAGAAAGAAGATTACAACCAATATTATCAGCTGTAATATGCTCATTACATAAATCTGTAAGTTTTTCAGTTGTTATTGGGTTGTTTTTTATACAGTAAGTAGGATAAATCCAAAACCAAAACACCATCTGCCTTTATTGGGTTTCTTTTTGTGTGTGTGTATGAGAGAGAGAGAGAGAGAGAGAGAGGAAGGAGAGAGAGAGATTTTGGGACTAACATGGTTCAATTTTATTTCAATAATTCACTTGCGCATAAGGGTCTTTAGCAGTGGGGGGAAACCGGAGGACTTGGAGAAAAACTCACTAGGTTGGACAGGCGACCCTACACCTTGACACCTACATCCGGGAATCGAAACCATGACAGACCTTATGAAACAGTGTGCACGCGCTAACCATTCGGCCATCCAACCCCCCTAATCCAATTGAATCCCAACCGGGTGAATATCTAATGCAGTTAACGGTATTTTGATTTTGTTTTCTTAACTAGATGTTAAATAATCTATTTAAGTTCATTTTAGAGCAGATTAAGTGGTGAAATATTTGATATTGTCCAGAAATTGCAAATGATGATCAGTGGCTTTAATTGATTGGGTATTATATAGAAAATGATAATTTATTGATATTGTAGGAAAGTTTACCAGATAAAGAGATCATATTAGCTGATATTTTAGCATTAGCTGTTAATAATGATGATGATGAAGCTATAGATGAAAACTCTATAAAATGTTTAGCTGGTTTAATCAACAAATTACCAGGTATATATTAATATTCTCTTGAACACATACCAAAATTCACAGTAGGCCTACTAATGAGCCAATTATTGATGATGCTACCAGCCAATATATAGGCTTTGGTCAAAATCGGCATTAACCAATCTTTTTATGGGATATATGTGCTGCATACATTTTTCATGGGTTACCTACATGGAAATGTATGAGATTTGAGTGTTCAAACACAGTGAAATTTAGTGGTAATTTGTATCTTACATTGAAATAATAATACTGTATTACAACATTCATTAAAATAAGCATTTCTTCGTCTATTGAAGACTTGTACAAAGCTTATTAATTAAACATATTTTATATTGTTTTAGAATCTGATGTAAATGTCATTATAAGTAAAGTAGAAGAATATATTAAACCAGTGTTTACTCAAGATACCACCTGTAAACAAAATGAAAGATGTATTTTATTATTAGCATGGGTAACAAAATCACTAGTTTTAAGAAATCATCCAACTGGAAAAGTCTACTTTGAAAAGGTACATGTAGAACAACTGTTTTATTGTAAAATTAAGATATTATGTAATAAACAAAAGGCAATCTTAATTGAAGACATATTCCTGATATAGACAGGTGTTTCTCCCTCTTTATTTTCAAAACATCTCACAGACTTCCATATATAGTTTGCCTGCAAGAAGCATTATGCCAGGGTAATTTTCTTACACAACTTTGATCTTTTCGGAATTGATCTTCTTATGTGTTACATTAATGAACTTATTGTTTAAACAGAGAAACTTTGTTCTATGTTCTTATTTTGTCATATGATAAAAAAAATAACATAAAATTGTTTCTGTATATTTTCAGTTAATAAGTTTATTAAGTAATTCTACAGTGGGTCATATAGCAGCAGACAGTTTTATTATAATACTGAGTGAATATGAAGATATTTTAAACCGTACAATGAAAGCTGATATTAAGATGTTTTATCAACAACGATTATTTGTAGAACACTGTGGACAGATATTAAATGGGTATAACCAGTCAGATAATAGTAAGAACCTTATGTCTAAAATTTATGCTAAAACTCTATATTTGACCGTTGGTTTGAATTTGATTTCTTACGACAATTAATTGTCCATCCACATATCTCACACATAATATGGGGCATGTGTTGATAGACTATATAAACATTATCTTTAGAATTGAAAAATTGAATTTTTTCTAGTCTGGATAAACTAGTCCACTAAATAAAACCTCTACTGGCATAAGAATCTAGATTCTAGACAGACTCATTTATAGTCAAATTTGTATTTTTTTTCTGGTAGGTCAAGACTATTTGCATTTGAAAAATGACTGGGTTTACTATCGTCTAATGGTAATCAACCGGACGTTTACATGTCAATAACAAGTGTAATGTTATTTCTATAGTTCTGTACGTCATGTAATCTACAGTTATATGCGTTATTTATTTTTATAGGTGAACTGAAGAAGAACTTTTTGATAGCTCTATCCCATTTAATTAAACCATTACCAAAACATGTCTTTCTTTCTGAATTGCCACCTGTAAGTATTAAACATACAGTGTTTAAGAGCTAAATCTGCCTATTGCAGGTCTTTCTTTAGGCCTTAAATGTGATCTAAATTATTAATTAAACATTAATTAGCTTATAAAAACCACAATCAAACCTCGATGCCATCGCTAGCCTGCGATATTTACTAGATTTGAATACATTTTGTGATGGATGATTTAACGTCAAAATGGATAATCGAGACTTATGGTCGGGGCTAGGCTTAAATTCAATCGCTAATACCTGGGTTCAGAGGGGAGCAATTTGACTGTTTTCAGCATGTTCTCTTTATGTTATCTATTTTTTAACTATTATAGCGAGAACTGCCCCTTTAAATAAGTCCTTTTATTCAAAAGGTGTATACTGGTCTTTATTAACCAGGTTGGTGTAGAAGAGTAGGAAATTAAACTCCATTTCATTTCACATTTATAAGAGTCGTGTTACTCGTGTATGAAGATTATCATGTATGGTGTTAGTCAGTTTTACTCAGCCAACCCTATTGTCTTTAATTGCTCTCTGCAATATATGTTTTACTACTGTGTCCTCTCATTCACCATGCTGACTTAACCATCCTCCTACTGTGTTTGAATTGATTGGTATTCTACATTGCTGTATTATGTCTTTCAGTTGTTGCCCTTATTGATTAATTCTCTGGTGTATGAAGATGAAAATCTGTTACAACTTACCTTAGCAACCATACAAACATTATGTGCTGATGATTCTGGTTCTGTAATACTATGTAATCAACTGCAAGCAATAATACCTCAGTTATTGAAATTATCACAATATCAAAAAAACATGGTAAATATTTCTCTATTTATTCTGTGTATAAGCGAATCAGGTTGTGTTGAGGAAAGACATTTGTGTCCGAATATTTTGACGTTTGGAAAAAAATAATGTTTATCATGCTGTACTCACTAGATCCTTTTTGCTTACTGTTCTGAATGGGAAAATATTTCAAACATGATCTGTCAGATGATGAAAAACTACATTTTATATCTTGCTTGGTTTTATTCTTATTTTAAAGTTACAATTTCATATTTTCTAAGAAAGTCAAAACATAATTTTTTCTATGTCTTTTGCTCAATAGGTTGTCAACTCACTATTATACGATCATAGGTTATCTTTCTCACACTTAAAAATCTTCACACTGGAAATAACACAATTACCACCCAATTACCTCCCTTGCTTTCCTATTCCCCACCATGGAATAGCTATCTTCAAACATTTGAATTTGAAGTTGAAAATGATATTTTTGCCAATTTCTCAACTGGCAATAGTGAATTATAGGATTAATAGGATTATTCTTTAACAAAGTAGGACTGTTTATACATACCATCAATTTTAGGGCTTTATTTTAATACATTTGAAAAATATAACTTAAAAATATGAAATTGTAACTTTAAACAGTTAAACTTTTTTCAAAGTTTTATGAAACAAATATTATTGAGCTTACAATAGTTTGTTAAAGATTAAAGTGTATGGTATATGTGTAACTACTGTATTTAAAGTTTTATATTAATAGGGAGAAAATAATTACTATGCAAATAATATGACTGAATCCTTATAATTTCAACTAATTAACTAATTATATACATATCTTCCAAAATATGAATTATACAGTGGTACAATGCTGAAAAATTAGATATCAAACTAACATTTGATCCCAGTTGATGCTGACGTCTCCTAAACTAATTGTATTCTTACAAAATATTTGGAATTTACTCTAATTTTCAGCAAATACGAATGTCAGCTCTAAAATGTTTAAAATCGCTGACCAAGTTGCCCGTACACTTTCTGTTACCGTACAGGAATAGTGTAACACGTACATTACAGCCTGTATTAGATGATCGAAAACGATTAGTAAGAGGTGAAGCTGTTACAGCTAGAACTGCTTGGTAAAAATTTCTCTTATTTTATAAATCTCAGTAGATGTGCCACAATTATATTAGTACTGAAAAAGAAAAACAAGGAATCTGGAGTATTATTTTAGATAATAATAATATTGTCTTTTAAAAAGCATATGTATGGCAATGTCTAGAGTGGTTTCAACCAAAGAGGTCTATGGTTTCAAGTGTCTGAACCTTGCTAATGAAGATGAGCATATGCCATAGAGTGTGCTATGATGTTAAATTTGTTTGGACAGCGGTGTTTCTGCTTACTATTCGTTGTATTCAAACTGACAAGGATTATTTTTGTCCCCCGCCTTTCGTCTGTCTGTCCATCACACTTTTTTGGGACACAATAACTCTCCTAATTGAGCTGGAATGTTCACACTTGGTGTAGGTGTTTATTAGGTCAATGTTTTGATGGAGTTCGAGGATGAGCATTTTCTGCTTTGGGTAAGCAGAGATAAGCAATTTCATTGGTTGATGCTTCGAGACACGATAACTTTAGTTCTAATTAAGTGAGAGTGATGAATCTTGTTGTACAGTTTCATTACATCAATACCTTGACTAAGTTTGATAATGAGCATTTTCTGTTCAGGGTAAGCAGAGCGATAAGCAATTGGATTGGTCGAGACTTTGGAACACAATAACTCTCCTTCTAATTGAGCTAGAATGTTGACACTTGGTGTAGGTGTTTATTAGGTGAATGCTGTGATGGAGTTCGAAGATGAGAATTTTCTGCTTTGGGTAAGCAGAAATAAGCAATTTGATTTGTTGATGCTTTGGGACACGATAACTTTAGTTCTAATAAAGTGAGAGTGATTACACTTGGTGTATAGTTTTGTCACATCAATACCTTGACTAAGTTCGATAATGAACATTTTCTGCTGAGGGTAAGCAAAGCAATAATCAATTTGATTGGTTGATACTTTGGAACACAATAACTCTCCTTCTAATTGAGGTAGAATGTCCAAACTTGGTGAAGGCGTTCATTAGGTGAATGCCCTGATGGAGTTTGATGTTGAACATCGTCTGCTTGCGGTAAGCAGAGATAAGCATTCTGATTGGTTGATGCTTTGGGGCACGATAACGTTGGTTATAATTAAGTGAGGGCGATGAAACTCTTGAGTATAGATACATTATTTCATTACCTTTACTTAGGCTAAGGAGCAATAAGCAATTTGATTGGTCAAAACTTTGGAACATAACAACTCTGCTTTTAATTGAGGTAGAATGTTTAAACTTGATGTAGATGTTCATTAGGTGAATGTCTTGACTGAGTTCAATGATTAACATTTCGAGCTGAAGCTAAGCAGAGCTAATCAATTTCCTTGGTCAATTCTTTGGGACAAGATAATCTTGATTCTATCTGATAGAGAGTGATGAAACTTAGTGTATAGTCGATAATCAGTTTGATTGCGCGATACTTTTGAAAAATGTGTGATTAATTAATATGTGTCATCTATTTATTTCGGGATTTCGGTGGCTTGTTTTCAATGTGGACATTTTACAGTACCTTTCCTTTCCATCCAAAAAATGCTAGGCACTATTCCTTGACAGACCTTCCAATCCTGCATACTGACAGTGGGTAACCACTGGAAAATCGCAAGAAACTTTCACAACCAACGTCGAACCCTGGACCTCCTAGTGAGCCAGCTCCTTAAACGATGAGCCACCACTATTCAAATATACCTAACTGAAATCGGTCTACCACTTGGATAGATCTAATCTTTAGATTACAACGGTCATATTAGCTTATACCAAGGAATTTAAATTGAACTTTATGTACTAAAACACTTACTTAGTCTAGTTTATTTAACTTATTTCTACAACATTTGGTAATCAAACTGTTATTTTTATTTTTTAGGTTTTTAATTGCTGAGCCTGGTTCATAATATTATAGTGCTCTATATAGTCCTGACTGAGTCCTGTTCAACATGTATTGCTCTTTAATTTTAAAACTAGATAAGGTCTGTGGTCTGGGTTGTTGTGCCATCCAGTGTGTTAATGAGTTTCTGAAGTTCAGACTCTGTTTTGGATAATTTTTAGAACTGTTACCTGATTATTGGGTAAATCATCCAATGTGAACGAAAGCAATTTGCCACTCAACATCATGAGATTTCATTCTTGCATTATAGTATGGTTAGACTGTTGAGTTTGTTGAGAAAATTCTTGTGAAAAGCTATGTTACTAAACCAATTTACTAAGCTTATCATATGTGCAGATACATTGAACCATAACCAAATAACTCTATCACTATATTATAACAATAGTACTTGATATTACCTATACAACCGACTATATGGTTCCGCATTACATGTAAGAGAATAATTTCAGTCTGTAAGGCTGTTGTATGATACACACTTATGTAATATATTAAAGACAATTATAATTGTAAATAAAAAGTTATTGTTAAATACTGTTACTTGTCTCTCAAATAAATGTATGATTGCATAATCTACTGACAAAAAAGTTTTGAAAATGTTTTTGGGAATCTAACAGTTTTTATGTACCCACATTTTCATGTGTATGTCTATTGTCATCACCCCTGTCCGTCCGTCCACAATCTGTTTGTGGACACTCTACAGGTTACAATTCTTATCCGATTTTGATGAAACTTGAAATATAGGTTTATCTCCAACAGATCGCGGTTGCTTTTGATATTGGCATGTATCGGATCGAAACTTCATGGATTATGGCCCCTGATTGTACGAAAAATCTCGTTTTTAGCTTGTGGACCATATAGAGGTCATAATTTTTATCCGATTAAAAAAAAAGTTTTAGTATATCACCGTTACACCCTAAGGCTGGTTGAGTTCGAATTTCGTGAAAATCGGCCCATAACTGACAGACAAAATGGCCGCGCTTTTGTCGTTCTCAAATAGCGTAAAAATATGGTATATCAATGTTATGGACTCTCTAGAGGTCACAATATTCTTCTGATTTTGATGAAACTTGAAATATAAGTTTATAACCCAAAGATTTCGGTTCCTTTTGATATTCATGCATATCGGACCGTAACTTCCTGAATTATGGCCCCTGATTGTACGAAAAATCGCGTTTTTAGCTTGTGGGCCCTATAGCAGTCATAATTTTAATCCGATTTTAAAAAAAAAACGTTTGAATATATCACTGTTACACCCTAAGGATGGTTGAGTTCGAATTTGGTAAAAACGGCCTAAAACTGACAGACAAAATGGCCGCCCCTTGTACTCAAATTATATCAATGTTGTGGACCCTCTAGAGGTCACAATTTTCTTTTGATTTTGATGAAACCTGAAATGCGTGTTTATAACCCAAAGATCTTGGTTCCTTTAGAAATTCGCACCTTTAGGATCGTAACATCTTGAACTATGACCCTTGACTGTCCAAAAAATTGTGTTTTCTAGCTTGTGGTCTTTCTAGAGGTCACACGTTTTATCCGCTTGTGGTCTTTCTAGAAGTCACACATTTTATCTGAATTTAAAAAAACAAAAATATCACGATTACCATGGTTTAGTTTGAATTTCATTAAAAATCAGACCAAAACACAATTTTGATCCGATTTTGATGAAACTTGAAATGCATGTTTACAACCCAAAGATCTATATTCCTTTCGATATTCACGCATATCGGATAGTAACTTCCTGAATTATGGCCCCTGATTGTACGAAAAATCGCGTTTTTAGCTTGAGGTCCCTCTAGATGTCACAATTATTATCCAATTTAAAAAAAACGTTCAAATATATCAGTTACACCGTAATTTTGGATGAGTTCGAATTTCGTGAAAATCAGACCAAAACTGCCGTACAAAATGGCCACCCCTCGTACACAATTAGCATAAAAATATGGGAGATCAATTTTGTGGACCCTCTAAAGGTCAAAATTTTCTTCTGATTTTGATGAAACTTGAAATGTAAGTTTATAACATCTTGGTTCCTTTCGATATTTGCGCATATCGGATCGTAACTTCCTGAATTATGACCCTTGATTGAACAAAAAATCACGATTTTAGCATGTGGTCCCTGTAGAGGTCACAAATTTCTATCTGATTTAAAAAAAATGTGTGAATATGTCACCATTACACACTAAGATCTTGGATCCGTTTGATAATCACGGATACCCGAACTTAACTTCCTGGATTATGGCCCCTGATTGTTCGAAAAATGGCATTTTTAGCTTGCAGATTCTCTAGAAGTCACAATTTTTTTTTCCAATTTTAAAAAAACCGTTTAAATATTTCACCATTTCATCATAATAAAGGTTGAATTCGAATTTCGGGAAAATCTAAATGAAACTGCCCAACAAAATGGCCGCTCTTTGTAAGCAAATTGTGTAAAAGTATGCAATACGAAGATTGTCGACCCTCTAGAGGTCACAACTTTTAACCGATTCTGATGAAACTTAAAACATATCTTTATATCCCAAAGATCTCAGTCCCTTTTGATATTTGCGCATTTCAGACCATAACTTTCTGGATTATGGCCCCTGATTGTACAAAAAAGCCTGTTTGTTTTTAGCTTGTTCTCTATCCATCTCTTGCAAAATGTGGGCGTATCCAGCCTCGCAGCCGCTGGTATTTTTCCTACATAGCATAGATACTAGTACATAGATCATTGCTTGTCATGCCCTCTTATTTAAAGTATATGCAGCAAGTTGATTGCACTAGATCTAAAATAGATCATCTCCCGGCTTGGATTCATTCAGTTTTAAAACAGGCCCATCAATATGGATTAGGGCAAATAAATATAGCAACCGTCTTGTTTTTGGAGCAGCACAGATCAATGCAATTTTCAGTTTGTCATATCTTTGTAATTAATACAGAAAGGAATTGAACCATTTTTATACGCCCACACAGAAATGTGGACGTATATTGGCGTCGCCCACGTCTGTACGTCTGTCGTCCACAATTTCTTGTGAACGCTCAATTGTTTTAAAATTGATATATGTTGTTTACATTAGTGAGATGAAGAAGACTATTTAATTTCAGAAATTTATATGCAATATTTAAATTAGGGAAACGAAGAAGCCTATTGAATTTCAGCAATTTCCGTTTATTACTTCTAGAGTTATGGCCCTTGTTTCACTTTGTTGAACCTTGTGAATGCTCTAATGCCAAAAGTTAACATCCGATCTTTGTGAAATTTATATGCAATATTTAAATTGGGGAAACGAAGAAGCTTATTGAATTTCAGCAATTTCTGTTTATTACGTCTAGAGTTATGGCCCTCGTTTCACTTTATTGAACTTTGTGAATTCTCTAACATCAAAAGTTATCTGCCGATCTGTATGAAATTTACATGCGTCATTTAAATTAGTAAAGAGAAGAATCCTATTGAATTTCAGCAATTTCTGTTTATTACTTCTAGAGTTATTGCCCTTCTTTAACTTTGTTCAACCTTGTTAATGCTCGATTGATGAAAGTTATCATCCGATATGTATGAAATTTATATGCATTATTTAAATTAGTATAACGAAAAAGCCTGTCAAATTTCAACAATTTCTGTAGATTACTTCCAGAGTTGAGACCCTTGTTTCAGTTTGTAGAACCTTGTGAACCCTCAAACGGCAAAAATTATAATCTGATCTGTATGGAACTGTCTTGTAAAGGCCCCCAAATTACCTACAAAGGAATAAATATGCGACAACCCTTGTCAACCGCTCGGACGATTTAGCCGCTGTGGGCATATGTTTCATTGTCTGGCAACCTATCTTTGGACTGATATTTCTATTAGAGATTCAACTTTCAATTGTAGTTTGCCAGGGATTCTGTAGCCTAAAATCATGCATTTTATTTGAATAACTTGGGTTTGGGATGGTTTTGTTTTACAAACACTGACAATAATATATTGTTTGTTTTAACAATATATGGAGACAGCTTGCAACAAGTTACATGACTTACTTTTATTTATATATATATATATATTGATTTTCAAATGGAATGTGATTGTTTATAAATGCGGACAGATAATTTGAACACACTTAAAAGCAAACACAGAAACCAGATATGTATTCAAATTACATAGAGAATCTGAACATATTGAGAAGCATAGTATATTCTGTCAAGTTCATGGTAATAAAACTCAAGCTGTGACTCGTATTACTCCTTGCTTCCAGTGGTGTTAACCTAACACACCCCAATCCGATGAATGTATAATTACACTAAAGGTCCGTTCATACTACATCCGTAATCCGTATCTGTAAATACGTGCGTGAATACGTACTGGTATACTTTAGTCATTTTTAGAGAAAGGGTTGAAATAGAATCCGGCACGTATTGCGCACAAAAACAACTGCGTCCGTTAAGCCGGATTGATTGCTCCCAGAGCGTATTTTTGTAAAGTGCGTCCGGCATTTCGGCTAGTGAGCCGGACGCATTTTCTATTTGAACGGCAGAACGCCGATACGGATGCGGGTGCGGATACGTTTATGAATACGGATGTAGTATGAACCGAGCTTTAAAACGATTATACATTTTATAAATATCATTTAATGTATGATTGTCTGGACGAGGCATTACAACTACATGCAGGTTACAAAAATTTACACACAAACTAATTAGGTATATAGAAGCAAATACTGGGTTTAATATGCCCACATTGAATTGTGGTCGTATATTGTCATTGGTCCGGCGTCCATAGCCATAGTTATGGCTCTTGACCTCTTTGAAAAGTCTTGTGGACCCTCTATCTAAAGGCTAAAGTTAATATCTGACGGTAAATTTATACACAGTGTTTATGGGCATAAGAAAAAGAAGCCTATTGATTTTCAACAATTTCCAATAATTACTACTGGGGTTATGGTCCTTAGCCCCTTTGAGAAATCTTGTGGATTCTCTACAGGCCAAATTTATTGTCCGATTGACATTAAATTTATACACTGTCTAATGTTACTATACGAAGATGTCATTATCAGAGAATTACTGTCAGAGTTATAGACCCATGACCTCTGAATATTCTTATTTACACTCTACAATGTATCATCCGATTGACTTTAAATTTATAAATGGTGATTATGGTCCTGAGGCGATGAACCTTCTTGATTTTTTTAAAAACAATTTATGATAATTATTACTAGAATTATAACCCTTGATGCCTTTGAAAAATGTTGTGGATGCAACTACCGGTAAGACCAATATTGTCATCCGACTTTAAATTTGTACACGGTGCTTAAGCCCGAAGGCAACAAGACGACAATATCACTTCCGAACTGCTAAATTCATGATATTAAATGTTTTGTTTGCTAAATGTTAGCATGTGCCAGAACTAGAAGCCAAACAAATTCTGATGATTTCTGATAATTACTTAATGGTTGTTACTCTTAATCAGATTTTGTGTAGTGTAAATGTTTTCATTACCGACAAAAGAAAAAATATGCGACACCCTTGACTGCCCGGATGACTTAGCTGCTGTGGCCGTATGTCTCGTTGCCTGGCAAC